ATGCAGAAATTCTAAGCGTATTGGGCGTGGCTCCAGCCCCAGCTCCTAAAAAAGAAGTTTTACACAAGGAGATAGCAGACCGATGGTCTGAAATATTAAGCAAAGGATTGGAAAAAGAAGAGAAAGAGACACTACAAAAAGAAAATAGTTCTTTTGACAATGTTCCCAAGATGATATCACCAAAACTTAATAAAGAAGTAGCTGTGGCTCTTATAGATAGTGCTCGAAAGCGGGATCAGGTAATTGAAAGTAGGCAGAAGCAGATTTCTACAGCAATCTCTTGTATAGGACAGGCTCTGCAAATGTCACTACATAACAGCCAAGATAATAAACTTGCCATAATAAAAAAGATGAACGATGCTGGAAGACTGCTATGTGATTCGCTATTTTTAGACTCCAGGGGTCGCAGATCTCTTATCTTATCAAGTATCAACAAGGATCTCAAAGATTTCCTGTTAGAGACGGAGACAGGGGAGTACCTGTTCGGAGAAAATCTTACAGAGAAGATAAAGACAGCTAAGGCTGTGCAAAAATCAGGAAAGGAACTTAAAGTTGATGACAAAAAGAAACCTTTTGTGAATCGTACTGAAGCAAACAACAAGAAGGCGACTAACACTAGGACTTTAAACTGGCGGGGCCCTCCTCGAGCCGGACCACAGCAGAGGTTCCAGAAGCTGGGAGGGCCAGCATTCAACAAACACCAACCGGCATCGAGGAAAGAAGAGAGGGCACCTGCGAGGAGAGGGAAGAAATAATTGTAGAGGTAGGAAGAATTTGTTATTATATTCATAACTGGAAACAAATAACAAATGATCCCATTATATTGGAATGGGTTAAGGGGTATAAAATCCCATTCAGGGAAATACCTCATCAGAAGTTTGTTCCCTTGAACAATAACTTTCCTAAATCAGAACAATTACAATTAAGATCAGAAATCAAGAGGTTATTAAGTATAAAAGCCATTAATAAGTGTACACCCACTAATAATCAGTTTTGTTCACCTATCTTTGTTATCAAAAAACCCAATGGATCATTCAGGTTCATCCTTAATCTTAAAAAATTAAACACCTTTGTTAATTGTGAACACTTTAAGTTAGAAGATTATCGTACTGTTTGTAAACTTATACACAATAATGATTATTTAATATCCCTAGATCTCAAAGATGCTTACTACATGATTAGTATTCATGATAGTAGTAAAAAATATTTAAGATTTTATTTTGAGGGCAATTACTATCAATTTAATGTATTACCCTTTGGGTTATGTTCTGCGCCTCTAACTTTCACAAAAATTATGAAACCAGTGACATCTTACTTACGTAAAAAAGGTTTCTTATCTGTTGTATATCTTGATGATTTTTTGTGTATAGGCAAAAATTATAATGATTGTTTTGAAAATATGAAAATAACAAAAGAGTTGCTTTCAAGATTAGGTTTCATTGTTAATAAAGACAAATGTAAATTCACTCCAAAACAGGAATGTGCTTTTTTAGGGTTTATCTTTAATACAGTTAACATGACCATTAATATTTCTACAGAAAAAAGACAAAATTGTTTAAAATTAATAACTGAACTAATTGTAAAGAATACTATAACAATAAGATTTTTAGCCCATGTTATTGGAAAATTGGTGTCTGTTTGTCCAGCCATTAAATATGGATTATTATACACAAAGGAATTAGAAAGAACTAAGTTTTTATCTCTTTTGAAAAACAATGACAATTATGAATCTAAGATCTCTTTATCTAAGCATTGTAAGAAGGATCTGGGATGGTGGTCAAAAATGATTTTGACATCCAATAATAATATTCGAAAAAATAGTTACAAATTAGAAATTTTCAGCGATGCATCTCGGTCAGGTTGGGGTGCCTCCTGTGGTACTAAACAAACAGGAGGAACATGGACAGAACTAGAGTTAAGCCTTCATATAAATTCTCTGGAGTTACTGGCTGCTTTCTTTGCATTGAAATGTTTTGCTTCTAACATCAAAGATAGTAATGTATTGCTTAGGATTGATAACATAACAGCAGTCTCATATATTAATAGATTTGGTGGTATTCAATATCCTCATTTGCATAATATATCTAAACAAATTTGGCAGTGGTGTGAAAACAGAAACTTACATATCTTTGCAACATATATAAATACCAAAGATAATGTAATAGCAGATTTTGAGTCAAGAAAACAGCTTGGTAACACTGAATGGGAATTGAATGAGAAAGCTTATGATCAAATTGTCACCTTATTTGGAAAACCTGCAATAGATTTGTTTGCAACCAGGACAAATGCCAAATGTGAATGCTTTGTATCATGGCATCCAGACCCAGAAGCATTCGCTATTGATGCATTCACTCTATGTTGGACAAGACTAAGATTTTATGCCTTCCCCCCCTTCTCTATGGTCCTTAAGACCTTAGAAAAAATTATAACAGATAGAGCCAAAGGAATAGTGTTAGTACCATATTGGAGTACCCAGCCCTGGTTTCCTTTATTTGAAAAACTACTAGTTGATAAACCTATTATTTTTGAACCTGCTAAAGATTTACTATTTTTACAAAATTCCAGAGACCTGCATCCCCTGCACAAGAACTTAAGCCTGATGGCAGGAGTATTATCAGGCAGGCTTTCCTGAAATTAGGAATCAACAATGACGCTGCAGAAATTATGTTGGCTTCTATCTCCATCAACACTTTGAAACAGTATCAACCTTGTATAGTTGCTTGGGCTAAGTACTGCCAAGAAAATAACATTTCATTGACTAGTCCTAATATTCCTGAGGTCATAGTGTATCTTACTAAGAAATTTCATGATGGGTTGTCATATGGTAGTTTGAATTCACATAGATCTGCACTGTCATTAATAATGGGCTCACAATTAGGTTCAGATGATTCAATAAAGAGATTGTTCAAAGGTTTTTTTAAATTAAGGCCAAGTGCCCCTAAATATAATATGACATGGGATGTTTCTAAACTACTAAAATTATTGGAAGAAAGATATATAGATGATAATAATTTAGAATTAATCACAAGAAAGACTGCAACTTTACTAGTATTAGCTACTGGCCAAAGGGTTCAAACGATCTCACTAATTGATATAAATAATATAGTTATTAAAGATGATTGTATAACAATAAAAATAGATAAATTAGTTAAGACCTCGGCACCTAATAGGTGCCAACCTTTTCTTACATTACCTTTTTTTAACAATAGAGCTGCAATTTGTCCAGCTAGGGCATTAATTAATTATTTAAAAGTTACTAAAGATATAAGAACATCAAATGTCTTGTTCACATCTTTCAGAAAACCTTTCAAGAGTGTTTCTACCAGCACAATCAGCCGTTGGATTAAAAAATGTATGGAAGAAAGTGGAATAGACATCACAACATTCACGACACATAGTGTTCGACATGCTTCAACTTCTGCAGCATATAAGAAAGGGGTTAATATTGATGAGATAAGACGAACGGCTGGTTGGTCTGGGGACTCTATGGTTTTTGGTAAATTTTATAATAGACCTATAATTAATAACTTGGAGTTTGCAGAAACTGTATTTAGAATAGATACATAATAATAAGATTATAATTCTTGAAGTCTGTTAAAGTAAATTGATCAGGTGCAATAAGGATATTGAAATAAAAGAATATTTAATTTCAATTGTTTATTTTTTCTTTTAATTTTACAACTTATGCTTCAAACATCTACATTAGTAAACTTTCATCATCGAGGACGAGACAACAACGAACATAATTATTAGTCAAACGAACTTACCTGTACGTGAAGTTCGACTGTAATTATGTGAAGTTGTTGTCTCGTCCGAAGATGATGAGTCCCTCCCTACCCAATAATTACAATAAGTTAAAACATTTGTACTAACCCTATGTTGTAAAATTAATTCTTTGAACTTGAATGAGGAATTTGGGATATAGATGGCAGCACGGTGACTAGTGGTGTGCGTTCCGTTTTTTCTTTTATTTTTTGCTTTTAGCTTTAAAATTGTGTGACGCCTGAGAATACAAGCCGGGACTACATTAGTAAACTTTCATCATCTTCGGACGAGACAACAACTTCACATAATTACAGTCGAACTTCACGTACAGGTAAGTTCGTTTGACTGTTTAGAATGAAACACAACTGAGAATGTCCAATTCTCGACTTATTCAGTCCCCAAAATATAATTAGAAATCTTGTAGATAATTAAATATTTTGAAATAGGACCTTCATAACAATTTTGTAGTGAACGGATTCCATCAGTTTACAGAGTAATTTTTTGAGGTGAAACGATGAAAATTCATTCTATTACATGTTTTTGTCTATACAGGAGGTTTTTATGGCCCCACCTGCTTCCAGCATACCAAGGTCTATCTATAATCCCGTTCATCGCAACACAGCCAACACGAAAAATACAGCTGATTCTACAAACGAATTTAACTTCTGGAAGCTTAATTTTAAAATGATAGTGTCAGATATTTCAGCACGGTATGGCGCTTACAAAATAATATAGGAAGACCGTGGCGGCGAATTCGACCTGGCGACTTGACAAGTTAATAAAGTATATACCTACAACATAATAAAAATACATATCTACACGATGTCTTATTTATTACAGAGAATATATTTCTGCCCTATTATAAAATTATATCTTTTTCGTCCAATACCAGTAGTAAAGCTACCTACGGTTTCGCAACAACGTAAGATTTGTATCTTCTATAGTAATTAATTTGATTCTTTTCCAGTCTTCTTAAAATCAGAATAAATGTTATTATACATTAATCTGCACGTCCGATTATACAAAACTCAAATTTACGCACCCAATTTTAAACCTCTATGTATTGGTGTCAAGAGGTCAATCTATTACAGAAAGACAACCGTAGACAAAAAAGAAAAGTAAAGTAGCAACAAACTTATTAATGTTATCTATCTACCCTAATGCATTCATTACACATAGGTAAACACTGTCTCTAGTGACACAAGGTTTACAGACAAAAATTAAACAACAAAGTAAAATTTGAGTGTTTGTTTATTAATAATTATTTATCAACAGTAATTATAAGTGATACGTTTCACACTGTCATTAATACTAAAGTAATAGAATTTCAAGCCCTACAAATCAATCTTGCATTGTAATTATAATATTAAATAATAGCATAATTCCAATTCAAGATTAGTAGCAATTGCCAGTTCCAAGTTTCCAAACCTTCAATGAAACCTAAAACTTACAACCACCGTTAAAAGGATCACATAATATTTACAATTAACAAAGTACAAAATATTTACAGCTTACAAAATTAAATAAAGACTTCTACATCCATACACACTGTTCTTTGTACTAAAACGCACAAAGTCCACCCAGACAAAACTAATAACCCATACAACCTACTGACATGTTACATTGGAACTTAAAAGTAAGATTTCAAACCATAATTTAGGCAGCAAAATAAACAACTTCCTACAATTCACTAGTAGGAATGACTCAAAAAAAAATTTGAGCTATTATAAACCATGATTGATACTAATAGCCTTTTTTTGATAAAAACCAATACTCAGGTTTCATTTTGAGGCCAAATTATAAACAAGATTCATCAACATACACTGAAAACACTTGTATCAAAACCAGGCTATCAGAATCATATAAATTATCTTAAATCTGCACTAATGAGAGATCCAGCAGTCTTAGATGTTAATAGATCTTAATTGGGTAATGTATCCATGAGTATTTCTTTAACGCCTGATGATAAGCGGTCAGGGAACTTGATGTCAAAAGCAACCATCAGGTCACCTTTCCTCGTAGGCTCCTTTGGAAAAGGTAATCCGTATCCAGGGAATCTCTTCACAGTGTGTGGTTTAACAACTTCTCCTTGAAGATTTACTGTCAACTTCTCTCCAGACATTGTGGGAACTTCGATGATGGTGCCACATAAAGCCTGCAACAAAGAAATAGAATGGTTACATAATTTTAATATACAAACATAATATGGATTCCCTAATAACAGCTATAAATCTAGATAATAATAGAGTTTGAGCAAGGGATCCAAATTTTATACAATAGTGTGAACTAATTTGAGTTGAAATATTTACAATTATAGATAACATGTTTTGGTCTTAACAAATGTTTAATGTGAACCCTTTACTGGACAAATTGAAAAAGCAAGAGACATGGATCACACTATAAACAAGGAGGAAATGAAGTGTTCAAATAAATAACTACTCACTTGTTTAAGTGATATTTTAGCTGTGTATCTTATGTCACTGCCCTCTCGTTTGAACAATGGATGTGGCTTGTCTCTGATGATGAACACAATGTCAGCAGGGATCTTGTTGCGGCCTTGATCACCCTCCTTCTGGAACGTAATCTTTGTTCCTGCTTTCCAACCAGGTTTAACATGGATTGTCAAAACTTTGTCTTCCTTCTTAGATGTACCATCTGGCTGCATCACACGCCGCGATATCTTCATTTTCTTGACGCAACCGCGGGCGATGTCTTCTAGTGACACGTATAAGTCGTGTTCAATCGGTGGATCCTGGGTCTTCTCTTTCCTGCTCGGGGAACCATGGAAGTTGAAGCTGTGACTACGGAAGGCGCCAGCCGGGCCACCGGGCCTCGTTTGTCCCATGCCCATGTTTGCGAACGGATCCATATCGACGTCCATGTCGCGATCGAAAAACATCGTTGTACCGCCGCTGCTGCCATTTAAATCGAAAAACGCTTGGAATGGGCTAGCAGAGCCGAAGAACTGTGCGAAAGTTGCTCTCGGGTCTCCGTGGAAGGCGTATGAGAATGATTGGCCTCCTCCGGGTCCATTCTGACTACCCATTCCTCCCTTCAGACCTTCTTCGCCATGTGCATCATAGATCTCTCTTTTCTTTTTATCTGACAAAACTTCATAAGCCTCAGCAACTTCCTTGAATCTCTCCTCGGCACCAGCAGACTTATTCTTGTCGGGGTGGTATTTGAGCGCGAGTTTACGGTAGGCCTTTTTAATTTCATCGTCTGTAGCTCCTTTCGATAGTCCTAATATTTTGTAATAATCTTTACCCATTTTAGCAACTAATCTGGAACAAAAATACACAAGTTTTAAACTTCGCACGACTGACAATAAGCTGACACCATTTTAGGCAACGGTGCTACGAAAATGATCATGTCTTAAAATACGAAAACATCTATAAAAAAATCACTAAGCAAATCACATTATACACTTACTTTTAGCAATAACTCTCCAAACACTTTTAAAACAGCAGTCCAATTCAAGAATAAAGAAATAAAAATCTACAAACTCTCACACACAACACAACACTTCACAATCGCTATTTCAACAATGAATGAAACGCAGGGCTGCCGTCGCGCCAAAATATATACATTAAAACGTCTAGAACATTCTAGGGCCTTCAACTAACGACGAAAGGAGATAAAACATATTTGAAGGATCGAATCAATCGCATGTTAGAAAGAGATAAATATAAATTTGTTACTTCAAATCGAAAGGATTCCAGAAACTACGCTACGCGACGGTTGACGTCACGTTGTTCAATGATCTTGCTCGAGTTTTTATTCAAGGGCTGCCATCAATAAAATTAAAGTTGCTGTGTTCTGTCCTAATACAATTTGCTGTTATTAGCCGCATTCATAAAATATGTTTCACTTCTATACCCATTCTATTCAAGAATTTAAATATCATTATTTAGAGTCGTTATACTTTCATTACCATAGTAATGAACTATGTCATAACATAGTAAACAAACCTCCAACAGTTTTTGTGTTATAAAATAACATCGTATTCCGATATTAGAGTTAACGTTTAATATAGTAGTAAAACCACACAAAAACCATGCTCCACTTTAATATTTCTTGAATATATTCTTACTTTTACCTAGTTACTATGAACTCGGTTTTTATTTTTTTATTTATTCGTATTTTTTTTTATTCTTAAACTAGTTTATTGGTTTGAAACTACTGAACCGATAGTTTTCATTAGTAACACATAAATAGCTACGATATTGGAATGCCAATAGTGCTCCCATTGAGTAATCATAATGGGTTTATTATTACATATTTGAATAGGAACTTATTGAAATAATAGAAAATCTTTTGTAAGGATTCAGCATAACTGAGACTAGACTATTCAAAATTAAAAATACTGCTACAAAATGGAAAAGATTTAATGAAACTTGAATTAATAAATATACCATGATAAGGCTGAACATTCTCACCATTCCACTTAAGTCAAAGTAGGGAAGCACTGTAAAAATTACTTAGATATTAGATAATATACTTCCTTAACATAATATACTAAATCGAGGGGGATTTCAAAAATAAAGATACCTATTTTTTATTAAAAATTCCATTCGTCTTATTTTTCAAAATACTTGATTAATTTAGCCTAATGCGAATTGCCATAAAACGGGGCAATAGTAGTTGAATGGCAATGTGAATTTGTTTTCATTAGCCCCCTGCTAAATTGTTCTCATTGCTTTTAACGTGGTTTTTGTTTTTTATGAAGTTTGTGGTTTTAAAAAAACTAAAATATTTTTATTCAATAACAATTAATTACGATGAATAATTACTATATTAAAATATTTTTAAGAAAATAATAAATAGGTATAAGTTTTATTGATAAACAAGGTTTAGCGTTGGAGTAAATTTACGCTGAGAATGCCCTTAGTATTAGTCAAAATTCAAAATTCATATTATTAAACAGAGACTTAGCAAAGGTTAACCTAGTACGAGGTTCTACGGAAGTAATATTTACACTTAGAATATAATAGGTTTGCTTATTCTCTGTATAATATGCAATTGGACTATAATAGTATTTGGAGATATGCAATAAAGAAATAAAATAATGATACATAATAATTTAATTAATAATATATTTTTTACGTCATCATTACAAAAAGTTTAATTCGCTGTATGCCAGTTGCACAAACGTCAATTATTTTTTGTTAGTTTAAAACGACATCGCCGAAAATGGCCCCAATACCATTAAATATTAATACTTCAATAATAATTGCTAATTTATTTATTAAATTGGAATCAAATATTTATTTGACACGGACAAGCTGCGATCCAAAATTTATATTTAAAAGTACTTTAACATTCACATTTTTATTCGCAAATATTCACATTCAATATACTTAAATTCTATTGAGTCGGGTGTAATTTACATGTCCGATCAAGAAGAACATTTATTTTTATTAGATAACCTTTAAATCATCGAACACAAAAACATTAAATTAAATTGACCGAAAATAAACATAAAATTTTACTAAAAGCGCCATCTCTTATTGATTTTCCAACTAAAACATAAGGACATAAAAACTGAATATTATACAAACTAAATTCATTAACTGTTGATAATTCACTCTTGTTTATTCAATTCAATTCAATTTCTTCGTTATTGGCTCTTCTATGATTTAGCCAGCATCAGGTATCCATTAGCAATGGTGTTTTTATTTGTTCGGTTTGACTCTGCTTGTTATCCACTACTCTGCTGGTAATGTAACCGGGCGTTATGCAAGTACAAGGGCGGGAGGTGGAAGCAAACAAACAGTAAACATAAAAGGAGAAAAATATGTTTTTTAAAATCTTAAGTTGAGGTACCTGAAACAATGGCAAAGCATTCTTGTTAGGGCCTTAGTAAAGAAGCATTATTTATCTAGCTGTTACAGTTTAATATTATTACTATCTATGTACGAACACAGGACGTTTACAAAATCAGTGTACACCAATGGCAATAGGGACTTAAAATTTGTTGGACGAGGGACGAATAATGGAAGGGAGTTGTATAAGGATGAACTATTTTTAGAGCATTTGAAAAATATATGATCTGTGGTACCCTCGTCGAGACCACATTCGCATAGGGAACTGTCCTTCACCCTGATCTTGGCTAGAAATACCGGAGTGCATACATGACCCAATCTAAGTCTGGCTATGGTAGAAATTACTTGTTTTTTGACATTACGAATTTTGCTGAACCATGGGGTACACGGAATATCCGATTGAATGCTGGCGTAATGAAGTCCTTTTGATGAGGAGGTCTTTTTCCAATCTTTGGTCCATACAGACAGTAGATCCTTCCTTGCCATAGCGGCTAAATCGTTAGGGTATACGCCACTGTGAGAAAGACAACCATTAACTGTAGCTTGCTTGGCGCATGCGTCTGCTGTCTCATTACCGCTAATACCTGTGTGCCCTGGGACCCACACCAGGACAATTTGTAGATCTTGTCGATGACATTCATACAAAATAGTTTTAATTCTTAAAATATATTGAAATTTAAATCTGCAACGAAACTGATTAGATTCGATGGCCTGCAAACAACTTTTTGAGTCCGAAAATATAACTACTCTATTGAGCTTATGGGATTGTATAAATTTCAAAGCTTCTAATATGGCAATAGCTTCACCTGAAAAAACTGAAGAGGACGAGGGACATTTAAAGTTTAGTATAATTTTATATTTTGGGATCCAGACCGCTGAACCAACATGTTCATCATCTGATAATTTTGATGCGTCAGTATATATTGAAAGCCAATCAGCCCATTTCTCCGACATTAATTGGTTAAATTTTGCTTGAGCATCCACAGCATTTTTATCTATATTTAGATCTAATATTATTTTCGGTTGGTAAATTAAAGCCTGATATGGAGTTTCAAATAGGGGATTTAGTCTACATTGGTAAACAGGAGAGGGGAGGTGGATTAGTTTTCTATAACTAAACAATAAACAGGGAAGATTTTTGTGGGACCAGTATTCATTCGAAGGGACCAACTGGTGTAATAGATGAAGCTTGTCGATCAAAGGGTGTGATGAGCATTGGTAGGCCTTAAAAATAAATTTGTCCGACAAATACTGGCGACGGAGTTCTAGGGGGGGTTCTACACATTCCACCTGCATAGCATTTATGGGGGATGACTTCATGGCACCAAGAATGATTCGGAGGCATTTTGCTTGAATTTTATCTAAAGATTTTAAAGAAACTTTGCTGCATGGTTCTAAGAGAAGGGTTCCATAATCTAATAGGCTTCTAATGAGAGAGTTATAAAGCATTCTTTGCGTGATTGGGTGGGCTCCCCACCAGACGCCTGACAGAGCTCTGAGGATATTCAGATTTTTCTCACATTTCCTTGTGATGTAATTTATATGTTGAACACCCGACATTTTTGTATCCAAAAACATACCCAAGAATTTTACTTTGTTTTCTATGGGGAAGGATTGACCATCACAGGAGATATCTAACTGTGGAATGCTCCTAGATCTAGTAAAACATACCACACTGCTTTTGGGGATAGATAGGGATAAACCGTGATCTGAGAGCCAGTTGTTTAGGTAGAAGATTGCAGAGTTGAGTCTGCCACTTGCATCCTGAATATTATCAACCTCTAAATACAAAGCAAGATCATCTGCATATTGGAGAATATTACAAAATGAGTTAACTGAGAGGTCTAAATCATGGGTGTAAATACTATATAATAAGGGACTGAGGACCGATCCCTGAGGGAGGCCTTTCCACACCCTTCTAGAGGAAGAATTAGAATTTTGGTAATTAATAAGAATTGATCTTTCTGAAAGGCTATTAAAAATGAAGTTATGTATCTTCTCAGGGATGTTCAGCTGTTGCATCTTCTGCCTGAGCACCGGGAGAAGAACATTATCGTAGGCGGATGCAACGTCGAGAAATACGCCTACTACTGATTTTCGTTTGGAGAAAGCAATACGGATGTCGGTGACAAGGGTACTGAGACTGTCCATAGTACTTAATCCTTTCCGAAAACCAAACTGTGTTTTTGCAAGGCTGTTATTGTTCTCCAAATACCACTCCAATCTATTTTTGATGAGGTGTTCTAATATTTTACACATTGTGTTAGATAGAGCGATAGGACGATAACTAGATGGGTCGTTACTCGGTTTGCCTGTCTTTAAGATTGGGATAATAATCTGTGTCTTCCATTCATCAGGTGGGGTACCTCTATTGAAGATTGTATTGATTGTCTTTAGAAAGAAAAGCTTGGTATCCTTTCCGCTTTTGGCGACAAAGGAGTAAGGGATTCCATCTACTCCTGGAGAGGAGTCCTCTAAACCAGATAACACTAAGGACAGCTCTTCTAAAGAAAAAGATGCCTCTAAATTTGACGAGGATGTTTTAGTTGAAGGGAGGTTGACAATCTCTTCCAATAACGGGGCAGATGGAGGGGCAATTTTGTGGATAAAGGGTATTAACCAAGGAGATGGGTCTGTAGAAGTGTTGTGATGGTACATATTAGATATCGACCCGCGAAACCTTTTAATATTTTTCCATACAAGTGTGGAGGGAGTCTTTGGTGAAAGAGTTGAGCAAAATTTGGACCAGCCTTCCTTTTTTTTTAACCTTAACAGTTTAACCGTTTCTGCTGCAACTCTTTTATAATTAAGAAAGTTCTCCGGGCTCATTGAAGAGGCATAAATCGCTTCTGCGCTCTTGCGGTTTTTACAGGCTGTAGTACAATCTTTGTCCCACCATGGTGGGGAGGAAAGGTTTTTCGGTGGGGGTTTACGCATCGGTATACATTCTTCTGCAGCAGACACTATGGATTTCTTGAAAAGCTGATAATCTGCATCTACATCCTCTGAGTTTAGAGAGGATAGATTGTTGATTTTTTCATCTGATGTGACATAATATTTTTTCCAATCTGCTCGAGATAAAACAAATTTTTGTCTATTTATATATTTTGGGGGTTCCTTTCTGGGTGCAGGTAGAAATAAGAGGATGGGGAAATGATCGCTGCCATAAGTATTAGGCATTACTTGCCAATTAAGCCCAGAACACAGACTAGCTGAGCACAGGGTTAAGTCAACGGCACTCTTAGGGTTTTGAGATGGGGAAACCCTGCGGGTTGGAGAGCCATCATTTAAAATACAAAGGTTTAAGTCATCAATGAGATCTAATAGTGTAGATGAGAGAGGGTCAGAAGTATGGCAACCCCACACTTCATTATGGATATTAAAGTCACCTAGAACCACAATAGGCTTTTCAATGTTCTTGATTATAGAAAATATTTGAAGTAAAATAGGAAGACTTGGGTGAGGTATATAAAGGGAGATAAATGAAATATTCATGGCGCGGACAGCTACTATATTAAAATTATCAGGGTCATGAGGAGGAAGAACAATAGGATTAAAATTAATGTTTCTTAAAATAAATAGTGCGGAGCCACCTTTGCCGTCATTCCTGTCATCCCGGAGGCATGCATAGCCCTGGATCCAGAACATGGATCTCGGTCCAAGCCAAGTCTCCTGCATGGCAAGGATCACAGGCCTGTGGGAGTTTATAATGTAAATAATATCAGCTTTTTTATATTTAATACTCCTGCAGTTCCACTGAAGTATTGGAGTGAATGTTATTAAAGGAGGAAAGCTCAGTAAGTTTTTGTCGAATATTGTACGGTAGTTCGATATCATTAAAACGCTGTATAAAATTAATTAAAGTTGTTAGTTGTAAAAATAACATTTCTATTAGATTATCATTGGGCACAATATTTGGAGAGATGTTACTATTAATAGCACATCCATTTGGTTGAGAAAAGGAAGGGGAACGAATAATATTATTGTGTGTCAATCTGTCATAGCCAGGACTGGAAGCTGGGGAGGGGGGGTGGTGGGGAGTCAGAATAGTTTTTTTATATGAGGTGGTAGGTGGCCTAGGAGGGGAATTCATTTGAGAGGAGAGGGGATGAACCACTGGTGAATTAACGCGAGTGGTATCTGCGAATGTTTTGCGAACTGGTGCAAATCTAGCTGAAGCTTCCATATAGGATACATTTTCTTGCGACATCACAAGTTTTATAGATTTCTGTCTATCATGTTCTGGGCAAGAAAAATGTGTGGCTAGGTGGTTTCCAGAACACAGGATGCATTTAGGAGGAGCCTGGCTTAAACAGGTCTCTCCTTCATGCATGTCACCGCAATTAAAACATCGTGGTTTTGAGCGACATTGGGACTTTACATGGCCAAACCTACAGCAGTTATTGCATTGTATTACTGGGAGTCTGTACATTTCAACTGGTAAGGAAGTATAATAACAATAAATGTGTTCTGGCAGTTTTTTTCCTGTAAAAGTCACCACAACTGTTTGAGTGGGGATCCATGTTGGAGTAGAGCCTCCTATCACCGATTTCCTGTTTAAGCGTCTTGCTCGGAAAACCTTTCCGTACCCTAGTGGCACATTAACATTATTTACTAATTCCTCCATGGACCACTCAACTGGAACCTCTCTAATAATTCCCATACGAGAGATATTGAAAGAAGGAATTGAGACTAAGTAATCATTGTCATTAATGGCTGGATGGACCATGAAGGAGTTAGCATCTGCAGCTGATTTAAATTGGACAGATATGCGATTCCGCCCTACCCTCTTTACACCATCTAATATAATGTTTTTTATATTGTTGGTATGAAGAAATCTGCCAAAATTAATGGGTCGCAAAACCGTCCCCTGAGAAGCCTCTTCTCTTTTTGAGATGTGAACAATAAATGGACCAAGGTCATCATTTGCGTAGTTAGTTTTTTTATCTACAAATTCTGGTAGAATGTAGGTGGTTTGCGCTGACGCAGTAATTTGGGCAGATGAACTTTTCTTTGCCGGAATAGGGTTAGATGATGAAGCTTGAGTGCGTTTTCTATTTGATGATATTTGATTGTCCTCAAATTGAGAACTAAACAAATCTTGAGAATGAGCCGTACCGCCACCAGGGTCAGGTGGATCGGTATCCATAATTGCCTTTATGCTATTTTAAACAAGCTTTACAACACTTACCTAGTGATCCCCAATACGTTACAAATACAGATAAACAACACAAACACAGAAAGCGGACAAAAGTAACTCAATAAAGAGAAATTATTAAATTTCTTAGAGGCACTTGTATCAAGCACTCGACCATAAAGCAATATGAGAAACATAAAACCGTTCCATTTTTGTACACACTACATAATAAAGATGTAATACCGACTTCAGCTATTTTTTACCGTTCCTCTGGACATTGTTATTACTCGCTTTCATGAAATGTACGGAAAACTACAAACCGAACCGAAACGAAAATTAAAAAGTCTAATCTAAGTCAGTTAAACCTTTAAAAAGAGCGCAAAACAAATTAATAATGATTACTCTTTAAAAAATTGAAACAATCGAATAATATTTATCCTGGATTGTGTGTTCGCTCGCTTGCTTCAAGAAATTTAAATTAAAGTATAGATTCGAATCGGACCCTTTAAGATTGATTGACCCAGAAAGAAATCTATGATGTAAAGACCATTTTATCAAACGATTTACTTTTGATATCGTTTAAAACCTTATTGGGGTACCTATAATCGAATAATTACAATAGGGAAATTGTAAACCGATAATAATTACGTAAAAAGACAAATTCTATAGATTAGTAAAGGTGGTACTGGGTGGCAAAAATTTTGAAAAAAAAATCGTTTACGATTCAATCGAGTCGGAATAGGAATACCTACTTGCTCGGGTCAATGTTAAGTGTCACAAACACAGTTCATAACTTTGTCCCTTTCGGGTATCTTCAACAAAATTTTAAATTTAACTTCTGCTTTCACTACCAACATACAAAAAGCAGTTTATAAAATAATAAAATATGAAATAAACTGAGCGAAACCCTGGATTCTGGCGAAATCTACTAGGGCAACGCCATTAATTATAAGAACAATATTATTCTCTCTTTGGTCCATAGTATTATATTATCTATGGTACACTTTTACTTACTCTCGAAAACAATAATAGCAGATAAGGATTAGATTTTGTGGAAGGAGTTTTACATTGAAGAACGTGGTATTTTCATGTATATTTTATTCATCTAATTAATCGCAGGAACAGTGCGTGGCGACAGCCTTTGTACTCGATATCGTAGTACTTTTCGTAAAAGTCTTGAATGAGCTCCTCGACCTGACAACAGAAAAAATGTCCATCGATATATTACAGACAAAATGCGGTGTATGCTCAGAGGTAGCACACGAGCCCTACATCGAGTGTTGTGAGTGCGATGCCTATTTATGTACAACATGTTTCGCGGCTGGGCGTGAATTTGGGAATCATAAAAATGACCACAAATATGCCGTCAGACGCAACGACTTTCCGGTCTTTGACAACTGTAACTGGTCTGCAAAAGAGGAATGTAAACTACTAACAGCATTATCTACATATGGTTATGGTAATTGGGAAGAGATTTCCAAAAACGTGCACACACGTTCTAAATTGGAATGTCAAGAGCACTATAAAAAGTATTACATAGAAAATGTGCAGTACAATGAATTAAAGTTATTGCCAGAGACAAAACAATCATTATTTCCAAAGCCTGTTATACCATATTTGTACAGTTTGGATGTAAGTAGCAATCCACCTCGAAATAACCAAAGTGATCAGCACCTGGCAGGATATAATGCTCACAGATCTGAATTCGAACTAAGCTATGACCATAATGCAGAAAGTATATTTAATATTGAGGATAATTATTCTGACTCTGATAATGATGATAATGAATGTATGGACTCATTAAAAATAGCTTTAGTGAATTCATTGAATACACGACTGAAAGAACGGCAAAGAAGATATAAGATAATACAAAATCATGGGCTTATAATACTTAGTAAATTCTCATCATGGCTTCAAAATTTCGACAGTACCCTTACAAGACCCAAATATGAAAGGCTCACAACTTTTATGCAGTTTATGACTGGAATGCAATTTGATGCTTTTATGGAAGGTTTAAACCTAGAGTATGAGCTTATTCAAAAGTTTTCACAACTGTGCGAATATAGAAGAAATGGTATTAGAACTGTTATCGCTGGCAGGTTACATAAACAGTTAAAAAAAGATCATCATTTGATGTTAAAGGAGCAACAACAAGCATCACAAATTATGATAAACAAATTTTACAACCAATCGCCTGTTAAATACAGGGTCCCATTCCTTAATAAATTTAACCAAATCAAGAAAGTTAAGAGAACATGTATGCCTTTGGACATAGTGGATTTGCCAGGATTTCATCTTTTATCAGATTCTGAAAAAGGCTTATGTTCAAATCTCCGTTTGGTTCCAACAAATTATATAGAAATAAAAGAGCAACTCATTCTAGAAAATAACAAAATGGGCTTTTTACGACTTTTAGATGCTAGAAGAATAGTCAAAATTGATGTGAATAAAACTAGAAAAATTTATGATCATTTGGTATCTGAAGGTTTTCTTATTAAACCACTTTAAAAAATAACTTGTTTTTAATTTTACTTAGCCTTACCTTGAAACCAAATTTTTGATACAAAAATATGGCTGGGTTTGTCGGTGAAACATGGAGTGTAACATCTTTCCCGGAACAAGTCTGCAAAAAGCTTTGATTTCACATTTGATGCATTGATCGTTTAAAAACAAGGGATGTTTATTTCTAAAAATATATAATATTTCAGTTTGTCTATGTTTATTACGTCAATAGTTAAAACAGAGTAACAAATTTTATGGTACATAAATATCAAATACCGGTATATAAAACCAGCATTTCATATAGTGATCTCTTTACTTTCGTATTGTACTGATAAAAAATTGGACAATTACAGCAGTCTAATAGTCAAAATATAAAATTAATAGCAGTTATATTAAATAATTTATTAGCGGGTATACCTGTAACAGATGGTATAGCATGAAGGATGCTATGCCAGCCCTTCTCCATTCAGGCCTCGTGAACACAAATGATATGTATGCTTCATTGGGTCGCGTGTCGGGTACCAAAAACGCACATCCCACCACCAATCGTTTGTATGTCACCACACAACTGAATTCTGGGTACTGTAGGGCTTCTGTCACTATTAGAATAGATTTTATATTTTAAATAAACATTCCTGATGTAGCAGATTATGGATTTCATATTCTCTAAATGTATAAGATTTTACCTAAAGCTAATACATTATTATTTTTTGAAATAGAGCCAATTTTAAAGTAAAAAAAGTGAGAAATAATGCTTAAGTATTTTATTGAAGTTAGGCTTAGGTTTTCTGTAAGTAATTTAATGACAACTACCCGATTCTTTTAGTTTAAAGTCGGTTCTATATTTTGAAAAAAGAAATGCATTATTTTTTACTGTTACTATGCCAAACGCTAGACGCTAGTCATACGTCAAACTGAGAACCTTTTATTGAAGTCGGTTAAAAAATATTGAGGTAGGTAACTCAAAAAAGGGATGCCAGTCTACGTGTGCCAGATCCATCTATCATCCAAATGGCTTGCAAGCAAGGTGTTACGTAATGATTGGTAGGGGAAAAAAAATTTTTGGACGATTCTAAAGTGCTTGTAATAGCCTACTTGAATAAAGATATTTTCATTCCATTTCATTTCATTGCCGAACATTTTTTTCAGGGCTTTCACAAATAAAACTTAGGCCAGGTACATCGGTGTAACATAACAACCTGGTTCTAAACAATAATACACAATTTTTGCTTCTTTACTCACAATCAATTCCGGGCCAAAAATACTGTGCGCAGAGGTTGTTAATGGCAGCCATGTGCTGAGGTCTCACGTAACAGTACTGCAGGGTGCCACGCCTTGGGAGACTATATCCCACTACGTGCCTAAGGCAAATGAAACATTATATAATTACACGGGACTATATCCCACGTCGTGCTTAAGGCAAATGAAACATTATTTATATAATCACATAATTAAAACTAAACTCAATTTTCCTATAAAATGCAGCTTAACTAAAAACAGGCCAAGTGCTAGTTGGATGAAGGATTCCATAATATTATCTATAAAAAACATGTTTATTGCAAGGGGGCCCTCTTAAATATTTATTTTATCGTTTTTTATTATTTAGTATTCATGTTATAGGGGCGATAGAAATAAATTATTAGTGAAAATTCCAACTGTCTACCGAACCGTGATAATGGTTCATTATATTTCAGTCCGGTGACAGACTGACAGAATTACACCTTAACATTGTAGGGTCACTCGAGTGTTGTGTCTGTTCATCCGTCTATCGTAAGGGGCCGTCCATTAATCACGTGAGGCACAAAATATCACAAGAAAGTATCAGGTGTATTCATTTTTTTTTCTCAAATGCGCGATTACAAATTGGCGTCAAAAATTAAGATTTTTGTAGGTACTAAAAATATACGTGATTTGGGTGGAGTGAGGAGGGGGAGGGGGTGGTAAAAATGTTGAAAAAATCATCACGTGATTAACGGACGGCCCCTAAATAAGTTACTCCTACTAGACTGTAACATTTGATTTGAGGCAGGAAATCTTAAAAAGAAAATAGAGCCAGTAAATCTTACTTGTGTGTCTTCGTTAGTAGCTCGTCGCGCAAACGCAGCCATAATGGCATAGATTCCGTGTCCATTCTGATGTAAGGTTTGAGCAAAGCGCCCGAGTATGGCGATCGGAAAGGTTCAGGTTCGATACGAGGTACCAACATGATACCATAACTTGAACTGGCGATTGTGCCACATAGATTATCTGCTAAGTACTGCAAAATAGGTAATTATAAATAATAATGTTAATTGTTCTTGTATTATTAGTTAATTAATAATCATGGTAAATCATTCAATACGAAATGGCATTAATTTGAAACTCAAAATGGGAAATGCGAGTGTGTTGTTGAGAATAAATGAACAAAAACTATTAATTAAAAAATGCTTAGATATTGAATTTGAATTTTTCAAAAAGGCTATACTAAAAATTACGAAGAGTTAAATTTTTTTATTAATCAACCATATTGTGTGCAGACAGGAAAATTTTCTTTAAAACAAAAAAATTTTTATTAAATTTCTATTAAATCTGTCATAACAGATAGTTACCGATCTTTGGAACCTATCCAGAACTCTGTCAGTATTTATCTCCTCTCTGGTATCATCTGTCATATACCCGCCCAGCAGTTTGACAGCCCTGAAATGTAATATCAAATACAACTGTATTCCCTTACAATAAGGTATTTTTTGGCATTTTTATTTAATTAATTTTTTAGCACCACTCACTTATCTATATCGAATATTGGTAAATGCTTATGTCTCTTCAGTCGTCTCAGTGCCAGCTTCGCTCGTAGCCTATACAAGTACGCTTTCTTCTGAGGGTCTTTCATTTTAGGTATCAAACTTTCCACCTGCTTCAATAGCTGTATTTCTTCATACTGAGTCATCTCCACTAGATTTTTCCCATTATTTGTTGTAGTCTTTTCTATCCACGGCAACTCTACCGAGTTTAGTTCGTTTGAGAACAGTGAATCACGTGATATGAACGCTTTTTCTTCTGCTGCTTTTTTTGGTTTAGTTTCAATTTGTATTTCTACCGCGCTGGGATGGTTCGGTGAGAGACTGCGTGTGTCCGAGTCGTAGTATGAAATTTGATGAGCAGAGTTCACGCTCGAAGAATCGCTCTGAAAAAAAATTGAATATAAGAAAAAAATATGGCAAAAGGGCTATTTTATTTGTAAATTTATTTAAATTATATTTTAATTAAACGCTAATATATATATAAAGTTAACTTTTGTGAGTGGCAACAGAACGTTACATATTTCCGTTACCTAATTTTGATTCAACTTTGGCATTAAGAGGTATACTCAACGAATTATGACTTTTTTTTTTATAAAAACTTGACGACGAGCGCACGCCTATTCCATGTCAAACCTAGTAAGTATTTTGATTAAATTTAATAGGAGAGAAAAACACTTTAGGGTAACTTTTTTAAATGTATAAAATTGTTTTAAAAACAAAAATCCAGCAAAAAATTTACTCCCAAAACCATTTCAAACTTAAATAAGTTTCTTACTAGATTCGATCTGTTTTAGAATTTAGTAAAAAATCAGCTTGTCCAGACCAAAAGCTAGTAAGAGCTCTGATTTTGTGAAACTTTCAGTCAATATGTATAGACTTACAAAAGTAATAAATAGAAAATAGCTGCAAAGCTGATATGCTTTTAACATTCTAACATTTGGAGTGATGTCCGGTAAAATTCTTAATTTTTACATAAAAACTTAAATGTCTTACGTGAAAAAGCGGTGCAGAGGTAGTATAATCGAAGCCTCGGAAAACACCTTCAGAGTCGGACTGTGAATTTTCCATAGTAGGTGCTACCACGTCGTAGCACAGTTCGTTAATCTCGTTTCTGCAAAATAGGATTATGTGCAGTAGATAGCGTGTTAGATTACTACAAAATTAGTTTCTCTAATATTGAGCTAGGACAACAACTTATTAAAAAAAAATATGCCCGGCCCAGTCTCTGCAGTAGAGCTAAATTAAGAATACAGTTAATGGCGGAACTCTGTCTCTTATCATCTGCTTGATTTTTCGCTCGCTAGTCCTTAGTGCCCCACATGGCAGTATGGCAAATTCTGTAACTAAAATCAGTACTCATTTTCACTGAAATCAATAACATGGTTACTAAGAACTTCTAGTTTCGGACTTGCCATACTGACCTTTCCTATTGTTACCTATATAGAAAGCGATAAATTGCGTGGTAAATTAAAATGTTGCTACAATACCTGCTATCTGAATCGAACTGATCACAGAATGAAGTACTGCTACTAAATGATTTATGTTCTAGACGCCTTTTCTTAGCGGGCACGACTGGTATTGTGGGAACGGTTTCCTCTTCAACATTGATCAAATGAAGATAACCTTAGCAATAAATAATAACAATAAATAATTAGACACATACATTGCTCAGATTCCAATGTGAGTAGCTAAACGGCAACTTATATTGGAATCTGAGCAAGAACAACACCCAGACTGAGATAATATATGAAAGTCCATTTTCTACATTTAACAGACTAGGGTTGTCTATCTTTATAATATGTCAGTAAATTAATATATTTGATAATTTAATTTTAATAAAAAATTTTGAAAGTGTTTCATGTAGGAATATGATTTTTAATTTTAATTGAGAAGTAGAATAAATTAGTTGCATTTGTATTGTTACTGAATTTTGTAAAAGAAATATCTGTACCTGTAGACCGACATTTATAGTGTGAATTGGATTTGCATTGAACATCATCATCATCATCAGCCCTTTTACGTCCCCACTGCAGGGGCTCAGGCCTTCCTTATGGATGGTTAAGGAAGATGGGCCATGACCCTCCACGCTGGCCCAATGCGGATTGGAGGGTATTAACGACTGCAAATGCAGCCGGGACCAACGGCTTAACGTGCCTTCCGAAGCACGGAGTAGCTCGAGATAGTAATTTTTTGGTCACCCATCCCGTGACCGACCCTTGCGAAAGTTGCTTAACGACTACGATCGCGGGCCGCGGCGCTTATCCACTACGCCACCGAGCTGCATTGAACATATTAAAAGCATATTGATGCTTGCACATTATGTGCAGTGTACAGTTACAAAGACAAGTAAAGTTTCTAATAAAATTTTCATATTTGTGCTCAATACAAACTCTGTTAATACTCGATTATTAGACCTAGAAGTTTACAGGTTCTACAAGCTTTAGGCACTTAAAACACAATAATATAATACTGCAATAACATACCCATTTCTGTTACTTTCCCGATGAAAAGCACTTTGTCCAGGGCCAACTGATTTCTTGGTTTTCCCTTAGGTTTATCTCTAGCCAATTCTTGAACTGCAAATGAAATATTATGAAATTGAAAAAAAAGTTAACAATTATGCGTTATATTTATAATTTTGCTATAAAAGAAATAGTATAATATAATTTCAACAAGATAAGATGGAGAAAATTATGACATTACATTTTTAAGTGGCTTCCCTAAGCATGGCAGTGCAGTTCTCATTTTAAGCAAAGTTAATGATTTTGAATGTATGTCTTCATGCTCAGACCAAAGATTAGAAGAAAAATATGTAGAACTTTAAATTATATCATGTTACTTGCCCTTGCCTTTTCTTGGTCTTGTCCGCAAGGAATCTGAGTGATGGTTTTAGATAAGTAACAATTTGAGCTTACGCACACTTTGTTTAATAGATGCCGCATTTTAAAATTCTAGTGTGCACCCTTAATCTAATAAAAAATAAATATAAACATATTCTTACTAATGTGAGCACTAACTGCAGGTGAAAAACCATGCATCAGTTTCCACCATCCTGTTTCTCCAAGTACCATAGATCCTGACCGAAATATAAAGTTGTTGTATATAGATAATACCCCTGCTATAGTACCCACCCAATTTTTCTTCTGCTTACTGAAAAATAAAATATTCTCTTTAATTTAAGTTTGTTTGTATTCACTATCTATGTGGCGAATATTACTTGACAGATTTTATTTCTGAACTGTTCAAAATAAACATCCATCAAAATGTACATATAAAAGAATAAGTTTAGAATGGTTATGTGTCCAATTTTTACTTACGTTTTATGTCCAAAAAGTAGATTCCAAGATCTATCAATGAAAGAGCAGATATGAGTTTTATAATGGAAGAAGCCATTATTACTGATGCCATAAGACTGGGTACTCAGGTGATGCAATGTAAGAAGTATTACATTAACCCTAAAAACATAGTTGTGCATACAATTATCTGTGTAACATTAAATGTGAGACAACATTTGGATTCCAGACATAAATTAAATAGGCAGGAAAATAAATAAAGGAAGTGTGAATTGTTCTAACACTAAGATGAAATAATAAATAATATAGAATAGGAGTAGTTAGCGACAAATCCGGCCTTAAAGGAATGAATGGAGAAATGCAAGAAAGACAATATGCAGAATGATAATATTAGTGAAAGTAATTTAACTGAAATGAAAGAGTAAAACCAGAATAATAATGGCAGTAGTAAACCATGAGTGGGTACAAGTTATGTGCCAAGGTAGCATTTGTAAGAGCGGGTTATAATAAAAAAAATGACTAAATACAAACTGGACTAAAATTGGTTCTAATACAGTCATTTGGAGTTTTCAAATTTGTTATTGTTCTAAATGAAATAATTAATCTGAATCTGTCAATAACTTAGATATTAGAAGTAAATTGAAATAGTGTTATAATGGTAAGTTGTTCAGATGAGAGATGGGTTAAAATTTTAATATATCTATGCTAATTTTATAAAGATTTGATTGTTTGTTTGCATTGAATAGGCTTTGAAACTACTGTACCTTTTACAAAAATTTTGAAATTAAATCACATGTGGGTGACATAGGTAAAATCGCGGGAAAACAGTGAGTCTTTATACAGGGTAACAGTTACACCTTACTCATGAATAGGTTAATAAAAAGTGAATACCATATGAATTATTACGTAGTTTTTAAATTGATTATATTCAGACATACGTGCACCGGCACGTTTGTTTAGCTTTTGAGGAAAAAAAAAATAATTAAGAATATCTATGACTGTATAAATAATATTTACCAAGGGAATTTGTTCCTAAGGAATACTTCCTTGTTATCAGGTGAACAATCCGCACAAGTGTAGTCGAAAAATACATCACATGCGAAGTCGCCAGGAGTGCCGAGTCTACGTAAACAAGTTAAATGTACAAAGCAAATACAGGTTTGACAAATTAAACCAGGGTTGTCTTGCTTGTTCTCCAGCAAGTTGCAGTATTTACACGTAGTATCCATTTATGTTATCACTCACAAATTAGACATAAAAAACAAACAGAAACTAAAATAGTAAACAAGCAGCATAATGTCAAATTGTAGGTATCGAAGATACTTTCGATACTGAGTAGATATCAATACTTTCAAAAGTGGTACTCGTGAGTACCCGATACTACGGCAGGTAAGTACTCGCAAGTACTTATAAAAATTGCCGGTATCGGATATGGTTTGATCAATACTATGGGAGCGATTCCTTTGTGGTATTGATACCACGAGACATGGTATCCATACCATACCATTTGAGTACTCGTTATTGATACCAGAAGCCGTACTTCGAACCCTAGAAGCAGCATCACGTCAATGCTCAATGTCAATGTCTAGTAGCTATGCAAATCGTATTGAATTTAACTGTTCGAGCCATGAATCATGATGGTATTTATTTATTTTATTGCATTCCACAATGTAGTATTAAGATGTACACAAAAATAAAAGTATCATTAAAATAGGTATTATTAGACACAGCAAATTAGAAAACTCGACTCCAATGGGAAGTCGTGCTACTTTTTCAAATAAATTCATGATTTTAATCTTAGCTAATAGATGACTCAATGAGGAAGTATTAAAAAAAAGTTCCCAAAATCAAACTAGGTGTCGCTACGCTACGTTCTTGATTTCTCCATGATAACCCTTCCGATTTTCTTTCATGTTTAAAAGTAAATTAGTTTTCAAAACTCAAGAAATAACTCATATTCTATTTGTATTTTTTCGTATTTGTATTGATATCTAAGTTTTGAACTTTTCAAATTTCAGTTTTTTAATATGTTAGTTAAAAGGAACGGAAATGACTGTCTTTGGTCCATTCGTTTCCTGCAAAAATCAACTTTTGCTAGAGTCGCCATCTAGTGAACGTGTATTATAAGCACTTTCGTTATTTTTTTAAATACTTCCTCATTACGATTTCGGTTTTAACCTATTGAACTAACTTGTTCTCTCGCAAAGAATAATATTGTTTTAGAAGAATAATAATGCGCGCATTAATTTTTTTGAACACTTTTAATAAACTCTGTTATTTGTAAATAATATTCTGGACTATTAATTTAAATTAACAATGACTTTACAAACACTCTTCGATTATTTAATCCCCTTTTTAATAAAACATTAGTCTTATTGTAGGACATTCGGGTAATAGATAATGACAGAGATCATAATATCGGACTGTTCATTATCTTTATTTTAAAATTGTCGAAATATCGATTTCTTAATACATATATTTAATTACGTTCATACCTACTAACTTAAAAACAATATAACACTTTTATTTCAGGTATTGTAAATTTGGAGTTCGATAAGGTTCATTATATTCGTAATATATTATGGTTATATATTTTTATTTCATAACCTCATATTCGTACTTGTTATTGATTCGTTTCCAATCAATATGAATTTTATGTCATGATCGAATATTATGACAATAATTATAAGTGCTTCGAGTCACTAATGTCAAGCGCCCGCAACTAGAGATGGAAATAACGGCTTAAAATTTTTAATAATGTTTTTAAAACGGCTTATTGTTTAAACATTCTTTTTAACTGACGTTTTCAAATCGTTATAATAAGAGTACAACGTTATGTTGTAGTTATTTATGAAATTAAGTTGCTTAGACTAAAATAAATAAAATTAATAAATATTTTTTCTAAGCTAACGAGATAGAAATCCGTATAAAACAAAATTGTTGTTAGTAAACAAAATATTGGTAACATCTATTTTTTTTGTACTATATTTCAATCAATGAAATTTCCTTCGTACTTAATCACAGGTTTAGGTCTGTCTGGAATAAATATAACAAAGTTTAACTTTAAATTTATGCAATGAGTTAACTTTCAACACAACGCGCGCCTACTCCGACAACAAAAAGCGTACTGTCTTTTTTTAAGGTCCGTTTAAAAAAGCGTCTGGATTAACCAACCAAAAAATTGTTGCAGTCTAGATGAATCTTATGCGTAATAGTAATAATATAATACATACATTTATGTAAAGTGCTGCCCTACAATAGATAAATGCCGACATAGAAAAATTGATTGAAGTTAGTAGTTACATTATAACTTGATAGATGGCGGGACATATAATAAGCATTAACATATTTTTATTATTTATTTAGAAAAACGTACTTAATTAAGTGCTTTTCGTTTAAACCCCTTTAAACCCGCGACTGAGCAGGCAGTATTTGTGTGGAGAGAGCGCTAATGGATGCGTGAACGATTTATTCTTGCAGCACGTTTAATATTACACACCCGCCTTCATTACAAACTTTTTTTTAATTCCACTACGGAACAGTGTTGATAACTTTATTTTAAATTTTACCACTGTACGTATTAGTTCTTTATTAAAATTGATATAATTCATTTATGCGTACGCGAAACAAAATATCACGAAATGGCGCCATGACAGACGCGAGCTTAAAATAACGATGCCACAAAGTGACATTTTGACAGACAAGAGGTACAACATTAAACAGCAGTTTTCCTTAAAATCCATCTTTATAAAAACATGTTTTTATATAAAAGCAAAGTAAGTGATTATTTTCTAAATTTCTGGATCCATCGACGTATGTGTGTCTTATGGAACTCTCTGGCTATCTTCACAGAAGATGGGTCTGCGGGATTACTTGGCATCAAATCCAAATGGTGGGCACCATCGATAATGAGCACAGTCTCAATAGACTCGTTGACTGTATTGAAAACACCGCCTGCACAAAAAACATGGCATTAAGAATCTTGAACACTATCGTAGCAGATTTGTAGGACGGATGGCACTTATTTGTAAGGTTTGTGTGCTGCATGCCTAGATTATGTATACGTCTTCGATTTAATGCAACATACATGAAGTTTTAATAAAACTTTTACAAACGCGCGAATGAGTCACAAGCTCTTGCGCCAAATTCCCTTGGATGTGTTGCAAAAACCACATCCATTGGCTACAAGTGATTGCAAACCTGCGCGAACCAAATACCCGGTATTATAAATATTTAATAATGCAGCGCGATAGTATAAAAGTGAAATTAATACTATCCACACGTTTGAATATGTGAGGTTTGGCGCTTGCCAAACCTCACATATTCAAACGCTTGTGTAGCCGCCCTATAAGAACAGTTTAACGAAGCTATGTTCGATTGAGGAATTCGATGGCGCAATGGTTAGCGCGCTCGGTCTAAGCAACTCCCACAATTGTCGGTCACCTATCCTAATGGGTGACCGAAAAAAAAATATCTAGAGCTTGTCCGTGCTTAGGAACGCACGTTAAGTCGTTGGTCGCGGCTTTATCTGCAGTCATTAATATCCACCAATCCACACTGGGCCCGCATGGTGGGTCATCATGGCCCATTCTCTCTATTCGGGATAGGAAAGGTCTGAACCTCAACAGTGGGGTTATTAATAGTGGTGATGTGATGTGATCGTACCTTTGATGTTCAAAAATGTATGAATAGCGCAACAATATCATCATGTTCAGTAAGTATATCAATGTGAATCTGGAAGACACGTACGCACATATTTTGATCACATAAAGTACTTACACTATGTGGCACGGGTATTTAATACTTTATTATCACATATTAGCGTGCTTTTATTTTATTTGAATAAAGATGTGCATGGCGCGGATTTTATATTAGTATATATTAGCCCATAAAATGAGATGAGTTATCGCACTTTCATGTTTTTGTTTTGTTAACCATAATACCAATGGCTAAATAAATAACGAAGAATAAAAGTTCCTATTTTGAAGTGGGAAAAATGTTGGGCATCAAGTTAATAGTCATTATAATAGTGTAAATGATTGATAGTAAATAATGCTGCGTATTAACCTCCAGCCCAAGGATCTTTGAGACCATTGCTGTATACTATGTTGGACGCTGCTTGGAGTCTATCGCCTCCGTAAGTTACTCTAGCGGCATCTTGCAAAGGGTACACATTATATCTCTTGTAGCAGTCCTCAGAGTATTTCGTGAAGTTCCATTCTTGAGGCTCAAACATATCATGTTTGCCCGTGGTACACATCGGCATCACCATTTCTGTACATGACTGTTAAAAACAACAAGTAGTGACATTGGTCTTTATATCAGTATATCTACAATAAGGAAGTATTTCCCGTTGGAACTAAAGGCTCGTTGGTCGTTCATTACCTAGGGGAGCAGACTATGAGCTTGAGCTTGAGTCATTCAAGCTTCACATGTTTATCTTTTGATATGGTCTATTTAGTAGTTTACTCGTTTCTTTCCTTTGACATGTCTATTGGTGGATAAATTTGGCTAAATGATTAACGGTCAGTTGCACAAACGTCCATTAAGGTTTAATGACGCCTTAACCGCTAATGAATGTCAAATATGTATGGGTAAAATCGCATTAAACTAACGACAAATTTAATGGATGTTTGTGCAACTGGCTGTAAGTTGGTAACACTACTATTAAATCTATAATCATAATTATTGATTAGTCATTTGTCGTTACTAAAAAACATGTCAAAGTAAAATGGAACGAAAAATCTCCATAACATAGACAAGATGTCGTTAGATAAAATAATGGCCTGAGAGTTAGGCTTTCGTTCTGCCGGTTGCACTGAAATGAAAAAATTGCAACTGTTAGCAGTCAAAATAATAAATAGGATCGTATTACCTGATAATCCCATCCACTGGCATCTAAATTTCCATAATCACTTCCTTTCTTATAATCAACGCATTTGCTTTTTTTATCATAATTCGTGAATGTGTCTAATAGTTTTCCAATGCCCTGCAAACACAAAACTTAGATTTTCATATATCCCTCGAATTTATTCAATTGCCATTTTTATTGTCTTTTTGGTACTAATTTAAGAAGCAGCTAGAGGCTTGCTCATGCATAAATTACTTTAGACCTCCTTTCTGAAGAAGTTATTTGCCTTAGTCTTACCTCTAAAAGCTTATTCCCATACAATTTTTCGTTCAGATATTGGCACACAACTCTAACTGGGTATGCAGGTAATGGTACGAGGAAGTCCGAAGGGAAAGGGTAATTGACCATCGCCAAGGTCTGATACGCAGATTGCAGAAAATCGAGCAACTGTTGCACATCTGAACTATTCTTCAGGGGATCACAGAGATTCCAGTTCTTGTGGAGCCATTCGGCATTGGTGGCGTTCGATGCAAAGTTTCTGTAGATATATTTCTTTATGTAAAATATGATCATGAAAATACTCAAACAGAACATTATTTTTACCAAATTAAAGTTTAATTTTTGTAGTATACAAAATTATGTTCAGATTTGACTGCAGAAATTTAACTTTTTATGGTATCTGGAATTGCTGTATGTCAATTCCAAATCGTTTAAGTATCAAGACTATTTGCACAAGGAATGATTTTTGTTGGCAACCATTGAGGCTCAAGGATCGCAATTCATACACAATGTGAAATTTTAGGTAATATAACCACTGTGTTAGGCTACCAAATATGTCAAATTTCCTCAACTGATATTGAACTCTACATACAAAACATAGATATAAAATCGAGGAGAGTAATTTGACAGTTTTTTATAGCCTGAAGTGCTGTTGACTGTACACTTCTGTGTACAGTCTTCTAGTACAAGTTTTATAGTTTTCCAAAACTAATAACGTTACCATACATTTCACAGTAGCGCCTCTAGCGAAAACCATAATGAATTAAAAACGGCAGTACAAGTTAATTTAGTTTATACTGTTCAGTTACTTGTCGTGCTTACGCGATTCAATACTGTTTAGATATGCATGGGAAAATGTATTTGTTTGTCGTTCCTGTTCTTGAAGATACGAAGAGTATCTATGAGGGAAATAATAGGTAGGAGAAAAAGTTTCTTCGCGTTTAATATGAAAATTCAAGTCTGACCGACTTTTGACCACGACCTTCTTCGCACTTTTTCGGATCACGAACGATAAGAACATCGTTCGTGATCCATTTCCCATCACCAAATTTGTGCTACTCTCACAGAAACTGCACTACGCTCATTAACGTCACAAGTTATTTTCGCGGCTTGCGTTACATTTTTTCCTTTTTTGTAATAAAAATGTATCGAATTTCTTCATCAGGTTCCCCCATTTTGATAGTAAAAAACAAATGAAAATCACACATTTTCCTAATTATCTTCTTTAAATTTAAACTTTTTGATGATATCGAAACCAGCCAGATACATATCGTATAATAGCCAGAAAGATTTTATTAGGAGTTTATGCATACCATATGCGAAGACTTTTCACCAATCTCTGTGGACTATAACACAAAATATTTTTCTCACATGAAAATTTTAATAGAGTAACAAAACTAAGATATTTATATCGTTTTCCGTTAGAATAACTTTCAGTTAGATGTAAAACTTGTAAATTATACTGCCGTTTATTCAAAAGCTAATCGATATCTAACTGTTTTAGTTTAGTTTCCGCTAGAGGCGTCGTCGTGAAATATATGGAAACAAAATTTGACAAAGTTAGTTTTCGAGACGACGTACGGAATCGTTCATCATTGTCTCTTACTTTTTAAAAACGTGTAAAAGAGATCACAATAAAGCTGTGAAGTTCTTTCCTTTACGGCGCTCTTCAGTAAACGTCCAATTTGTGATTTTCTCGGTGACTGCAGATCACTTTACCTGATCGTACTCCAGGAGTTTTGTATATTTGACATACACTGCTGGCTGCCATCGATTTTGAAAGCAGAAGTTACGATACGGTAGTAAGCATCACATGGGGTCATGCCCGGGAACATATGGATAGGAGCTGAAGCAGCAATGGCACCTGCCACGAGGTGAGGATATTTTTGCCTGAAGTATGCAGCTAGCATACCTCCGTATGAGCCTGTAAAAAGAATAACAATACTAGATCAACTATAAATTAGTAATAAATAATTTTAAATTGTTCTTACAAAGTAAGGTGATCTTAAGCATTTTGTCACTACTGCTCCGTATGCCTTTTTTGATGATACTGGACTTCTGGGCATTCTTTGCCAGTTACCGCAGAGTCTGGACTATGTAAGAGCAGTAAAGATTAAAAGATAGTAATGTTGCTTTATGTTACAGAATGTAGATAGTTATAAAATATGTATATAGTAACAACAGTAACTTTCTTACCACCAAAGGCAATAACAGGATACTTGGGAGTAACTGCGTGGTCCTGAAGAAAGTCCACCAGGTCTGCATAGTCTGCGAGCGCCTGCGACGATGTCAGGTAACCAATATTATTGTTGTCCAAAGATGCATTTCCAAAGGGCATAGATGTGCCGTAATACCTGGCAAATAATAATGAAAGAATAATAATAGTAATTTAATTTCAAACATAGCATTAATGTAATCGGTGTCTGCTTGTAATTAGTTTATGTACTCTTTTTAAACGTAGATGTATAATTTGTCGGGTAGACAAGATATTTGAATTTATTCAGCACCAAAACCGAATAATTTGCCGAATACAAATAGAGCAAGAAAGAATATTCGGCGCATCTCTAATTTGTACATATTAGTTACCTGTGTTCGGCAAATACGAGCTTCGCATTGAATTCTTCAGCCGCTTCCCACATGAAGCCTGTGTGTTGGGCGAAAAGTTCAATTTGGCCCTGAAAATATTTAGCAAGTGAATAAATAATCTTCCACTTTTTACGTGTGTTCCTTTGCTTGACTCTGCTTCCCGGATGATAATATTAAGAGAGTGATGTCATATTTTTTTATTACTATATTAAATACTAGCTATTCTCCCGAGGTTCCGCCTGTGTAAATTATGTCTTATGTCACTTGCGTATGAAGTAGTTTCCCGTAAATTACAGAATTTTGAAAATTCGGTGTATGAACATATATACTTTCATGAAAATAGAACATAGAAAATCTTCCCTGAGGTGATATCTGGTGCGAAAGTGTATCTTGTATTGTTATTAATGCAAAACTACTGAACCGATTTCTATAAAATTTAAATGGGCCCGTCACCCCGGTCCATTAAGCTGTCGAATAAAAAAAACAGTTTTAAAAACCGGTGGAAATATCATTATCAGAAGATACATAAAAAAATCATACATCGCAACCATCTAACCTCCTCCTTTTGGATTTTGAAGTCAGATAAAAACTGACCTTTTCAATAGAATTATATGATTTAATGTTTGAGAGTGGGCGTTAAGTCAAAACTTTTTAATGAATGCTCGCTTTTCTATTGCGTGTATTGCATAAGTGCCGCACAAGTCCCTACCTTTATTAAATTGTCTCCATAAAAAGGGTACCTATGTATGATTGTATCATGAAGATTAAATAATTATGAATTTTTTTAGAGTTCACTTTCAGATCTTTTTTTTCTATATTATTATAAATATAAATGTGACAGCACTATTAAAAATATATTTTACTTATATTTAATTACAGCTTACAGGATTTTGCATAAAACCAATTGATAGTTAGTGAGTTTAAGTTCGGTTTGTGAAATTATAGGAACTTAATCTACTATTTACAATATTCTGGTTTACAACACTGTACAATGTCATGATGATATTTTTGTTTGTTTGTCCGTTTGGTGGAATATTGAAAAATATTAAAAACGTAGTATTTTAATTATTGCTTAGTTTTAAATAATTGATTACGTCACAGCTTTGTGCATTTTCTACGTAGCTGTGACGTAGCGAGCCGCCCCTCCTCAACTTAAAAGTCTATTATCTAAGCAATTTCTTGTTAAATTGAAGTAAAAAATACACTAATCTAATAGTTTGCTATTATCTGACTGACGGAATATACCTATAAGTTTTTTTTTACCCAGTCCTATCATTGTATCGTTCTTATTACATGCAGACAAAATGTCGAATAAATGAAGAAGTTGGATTTCATAAACGAGTCGAATTTTTTAACTCACAACAAGTGTGTACAAAGCATTAGTCGGCGTTATCATGGCGACATTCGCGACGCTAATTGGTTGCAATTGACTATTGAAGGTAGTCAATTCTCTGGATAAACAAATAAATCGATTCATTTATAATGTTGACATTAATTGATAATATTATTTTTTATCGGCGTGTGTTTTTTATCACCGCGAATCACAAAACCGATTTAAACAATTATTTTTGTTCGAAAACTTAAGACCTGTGGCCGTATAATTTTTTTTTATCACTTTTCTAACGGGAATGGATATTAAAATAAAGGTCTGGAAGAAATTCTCAATTGCAAATACATATGTCGTCTAAGTAATAAAAAAAAAAACCGATGCAAAAGCTCTTTCAGACTTTATTAAAAGTTTCTTAAGTATTTGAACCACCTTAAAGATTTGTTTTTTTTAGAAAATGTATTTGGGTACTGTTTTATTCTATTCTAGATTTAATGCTATGCGGTTAATATTGACCTTACATTAAAACTTATTACCTATTCTTTTGAAACAACTTGACAAATCTACTACAGAAATTGAATTATGTAATCGATATTTTATAAAATCTACTTATTTAATAAAGATTTTTCCAATGAGAAATACATATTACCTCATTTCCAGTATAGAAAAATATCGGTCCGGAGCCTCTATCCCAGAAATCATCGTTCACTAAGTATTTGATCTGGAAAGTCTCCTTCCTTTGGAATCCAAAATGATCTAGAGGCACTTTGAAATACTTCGTCTCATATTTGTATTCAGACTTGACCAGAGCAGTCGTTATAATAAATATGCACAATTTATCCCACATAATTGCGTTCCTGTTGACGTAATATTTCTTTTAAATATCAGCACATTTACGCTGTTAAGTTTATAAAATAAATTAGCACTATAACACGACCTCACTGGTGCGAGCACAAAATGTTATGAAGATGTTAGCCGGCTGGCCAACCGCTTAATATATGATATGTAATATGTTTATGTACAATCAGCTAGAAAAGCGGTATCTTCAGATTTTTTATCAGAAATTGGACTGCCACTTTTTCCGGCCTTTATTAAAAAAGATATTATAATATTTACTTTTTAAGTCCTGTTTTTATAAATTTCAGAATAGCAATTAGTTACCCACGCAAAAACATTTATCTTATACCTACATCACCTATCTATTAAATTCCTATTGCTGGGCACGGGAAATCCCTATGGAATCGAATAGATGAGGTTACAACCAATTCATAATAATTCAATTTTAGTAGAATTATCATGAATTTACTGCATCCTTTTTTATTATCTTTATTTATAATACTACCTAAAGACTTCTACTAATCCAAAAAAAGGTGGCTTCGCAAGTACAGTAACTGCACTTATATGATTTAACTCTGTAAAAAGATCGTTTTTACAGTAAAGTTGTTGTGAACTAAGTATATATTTGGAAAGGTTTAACTACCTACAAAAAGTCCGGTAACAAAAGAACTGCATCCAATATATTAATATCTAACACATAGTCGTCGAACAAAGACTCTCCTCCTTTTCGATTTTGAAGTCTGTTAAAAATATTCGATTATAAAATGTAGGTAGTTGTTATTTACCTTAACACAAATAATTCCATTGTACAATTGATTATTTCTGCTCTACTTCAAGCATCAATTTATTTATATTTATTGTAAATTAAAATAATAATCGATCACTCTATGATGTACATAAATATTACATTTAAAATATTATTATAAAATTACCTCGGATGACTAGTTTCTAGGCGCTGATAAGAATTTTCTAAGGCTGACAATATTGTCACTATGTGACAATATCAGATTGTTTGACGTTTTCTCATCGACGAATAAAAAGACAAAATGACTACGCGATGTTGGCAGAATGTCTGTGTATAACGGAACAAGAAAAAAAGAACTTCAGTACACGTGGGTAGTTTTTCAAGGTAGGGTAGTATCAGAGAGTAGCACTAGAAAATTATAAGCTATAGCAATGCATGGCACATGTAGCCTCAGAAAAATAACAACATGCAGCACATGCAATAAAAGGTAGTGTTTTTTTATTCATTTATTTAATTGAAATAATCAATTTAAATTGAATTGAATTATTTCAGTTTTTTAACTGGTGCCAGTGTAGGAATTTAATTTTGGTCGACAGTGTTATTGGTTTAACAGATAATAAATCTTAGGGTATGTAACAATATCATTTGCATTTTAATTTCTAGTTGATCTTAGGCCCAGCTCATATCAATAATTAAAATTAGTTGTATACACAATTATTATATTCCAGCTTGAAACGCTTACTTATTATCAGAAAAAAATGAAGATAAATGTTTGTAAAATTAACCTCATATCCGATCAGGGTATTCACTTTACTCCAGTCAGTATCAAGTATACCTCTTGATCCTATAACTAAATTGCAAAATACTTAAAAATATTGTATAAATACAATATTTTTTCTTAGCAGGCAACGTCGTAGTTATCATTTATGCGCGCACGCAGCTCAGCTTATCTGTGCTCATTTGACCCCGCTCCCAGTCAGGATGCTCCCATTAGTTCGGCGAGCGGTCTTTGTTTATATTTACAGATATTAATGCACACTGTCATTTGAAGACAAACGGATCGGTACATATTTGAAGTTCACAGAATTAGGGTAAGTACACTCAGTGGCGGATAGAAAATTATGCAGTGCCTAAATTATACGGGACATAAAATTAAATTTGTCAGAGAGTTGCTGTGTACTTAAGGTTACTCAGCAAGCAATGGAATGCATAATGCTCAGAATTTCGGGGACAGGATTCGAAACAACATTATCCGTCAACGCACCCAATTAGGTGAAGGGATACCGACACTTAAATGGCACACGTGTGTCGTACAGTAGATGGCAGATGGTGCCAAAAGTCTTTACATTGGAGGCCTCGAACAAGAAGACGAAGTCTAGTCAGATCACCAGCCGGTATAAAAAAAGATGGCTGGACTGACCTGGCACAGAATTGCCATAAGCAGAGAACGATGAAAAAGTTAACAAGAGGCATATATCCAGCACTGGAAAAGACAACTTTACTGATAGAGAGAGAGAGAAATTATTGGAGCTAAAAAAGCGGCGGTATGTACTACATGGCCTAGGGCAACCAAGTCTGGAAATCCATCTCCGGGAACACATGGGGTAGCTGTTGAAAGCGTCAGTTTAATGTAGTTCGTGTTGCATGACGCCAATGGCGTGGTAAGTAGTGATTTTTATACATTTCTCGACATGCGGAAGGAAGCTAGTATCCTCTAATATGAAAACGTTACTGCAGAACGGGGCACGCTTATAAGATTTTCAGAAGTTTCAAAGCAAAATAAATTATACTTATGTGAAACTAAGGTTACCGTATCTCAGAATTTGTTCTGTGATCTCAGGATTTTGATTGAGGTCAGACTTTGCAAATCTCAGAATATTTAGAATTTTTAATAAAATATTGTGCATTAAAAAAAAAATTGTTTTACAACTAAAAATAATCTTCTTAACTTTGTTATGTGCAAAGAGTGAACAAGATCCTCCAAAATCCACAGTGAGTAAAAACGATAATAATTTGACTTTTTGAAATCATTAAGTACTTTTAAGAGAAAAATCTCAAATTGCAACATAAATCGCAGGATTTTTAATGGAAATCAGGACTTTTGATTTATTTATCTAGTAACCCTATGTGAACCTTTTGTAGCCGAGCTTTTTAAAATATTCGACTACATCGCTTATGTACCTTTTAGACCTTCATTATGAAATGTCCTTCATAATAAAACTCCCAGACCTGACTTAGACCTAAAAACGAGTGTGCGAGCCACTCTGTCACATAGTTCATTTTGAAAGAAAACTTTTACAATAATAGTTAATAAAAAACAGATTTTAAGGTCCTATTTTCCTCAAAAGATCATCCTGTCTCTATTTCTGTCTCATTGACTGGTCCGTTGAAATCGTCTCCTTTAAAGCAAAAGCTCTTTTAAGCACAGCTTTAAAGGAAACAATCTGACAATGCCGTAATGGTATTTAGTAATAATAATAATAATAATAATAATAATAATTTGGCATACTCAGATGGACTCAGACCGATTGGACGCCCTGGATCGGAAAGTCCGCACAACTTTGACACTCCATAGGATGCACCACCCGAGATCGTCAGTGATGAGGCTGTATAGCCCGAGGAAGAGTGGCGGTCGAGGGCTGCTCAGTGCGAAACCCTGCACAACCACGAGATACATAGTCTCCGTAATTACTTCCTGGCGAAAGCGGAATCAAGTGAGTTGCATAGAGATGTCAAAGCATGTGATGTAGGACTAACCCCTCTCTCTTTGGCCACCGAGGAATGGCGAGAACCGGCAGTACTTAGCACCACTGACCGAGAGGCTGTTTGGAGGGAGAAGGAGTTGCACGGTAGATTCTATAAGGCGCTACACGAGCGTCACGTGGATCCGAGAGCCTCCGTGCATTGGCTGCGCTTCGGGGACCTCTTTGGGGAAACCGAAGGTTTTGTCTGTGCAATACAGGACCAGGTCATTATGACCCGAAACTACCGGAAGTATATCCTGAAGGATGGGACAGAGGACGTTTGTAGAGCCTGTCACCAGCCCGGTGAGTCACTCAGGCATATTACTTCCGGTTGTCCTGTACTGGCTAATACCGAGTATTTGCACAGGCATGACCAAGCAGCCAAAATACTCCATCTCGAGCTAGCCTTCAAATACGGCCTCATAGGCGAAAAGGTGCCGTACTATAAGTATGTGCCGGAGCCAGTTCTTGAAAACGACCGCGCTCGATTGTACTGGGACCGGTCCATCATTACGGACAGGACTGTTCCTGCGAACAAGCCTGATATCGTACTGATGGACCGGACGGAATCTCGGGTGTTCGTAGTGGATGGTCACCGTCCCATTCGATGAAAACCTCGTGAAAGCCGAATCAGATAAAAAACTTAAATATCTGAACCTGGCGCACGAGGTTACCGATATGTGGCGAGTGTCATCCACTGAGATCATCCCAGTCGTAGTGTCAACGAATGGCCTAGTCCCAACTTCTCTTCACGACCATCTGAAGAGGTTGGGACTCCGTGACGGACCAATGATTGCGAGGCTCCAGCGGGCGATCTTGCTCGATAACGCAAGGATCGTCCGCCGTTTTCTCTCTTGTCGCCCTGACCCCCGGCCGTCTGGCCTCCTCTGCCAGGGGGAATCCTCCCACCCCTCGAATCGTCGAGGGGTCGGGAAGAGTAAATTATGGATACGGGAATAATAATAATATATTTATTTCTGCATAAATATGGAAAGTACATATAATATGATATAATATTAATAATAAAGTAATAATATGATAATAATAAATTTTAATTTTTTATTTAGTATTGAGGTGTAAAAAATATAATGCACACGTGCAAATAATCCACCGATTAGGTTTATATCATAATATTAGTACGAAGACGTGTATAGGGGTGACAACTAATAAACGAATGATAAGTTTCAATTGTGTACTCATAATAGTTTCGGAATAAGTGGCTGTATGGACGGACAGACAGACAAGCGTGACAAAAGATGAATCGTATGGCAAAAGGGATTCCGTTTTTTGCCATTCTACAGACCAACAGAACTTTATTAATACAATAAAACACAAATAAAAAAACTATGCTAAATTATAATTATGATCCAACACAAACATGTAATAAAAAAAGAAACTATTTTTGATCAATATTTTTTATTTATACAGTTATTAATATAAATAATTTTTAAATAACGACAAAATAGTATAAAGTTTAGTTGCCTATGCCGCATGTTCACCGATCCAGCGAAGATGGTGACAAAAATGTCCAAGTTTCTAAAGCTTGATATTGCAGTATGTGGCGGCTTGAAACAAACTTCTATCGATTGTTGAATATGTTTTTTCCATTAAATTAAAGGTTAAGTATTTTTTTTATTAATAATAACTTAGTAATAAATAATATATCAAATTAATAAAAGGTAATCCCAGAAGAAAATACGAAAATATATTTTTATTTAAATAAAAATCTGCGACACTAGTTTTTCTCGTAAGTTTATGCACATAGCACGAAAGTATCATAAAACGTAGGTATGGGTGCATTGTGATTTTGGATGTTTACATGCGAAATTAATGCAATGAAACTAATTTCATGCCACTAGTTCCAAAATGTAAATTTGGCTAAGATTATGCAAAAAGTCCCCATATTCCTAAACTAGCTAAACACGATCTGCTACTTACTACCTTTTACCGTGTGTTGCATTACGAAAGCATATTAACGTTACTCTAAAAAAAATCCTAACGAAGTAATTAGTAAGAATCTAATTCATTGAGAACTATGCAATGGTATTAGAACTATACGATTTAAAATATAGTAAATCTTGATGGGCGATAATTTAACATTTTATTGATAAAGGAATTATAAAAATTGGTCAAGTACTTTTTATATTTATTCATACAAACAATACTAAACACAAATATTCTCTCTTTATAAGTGCAGATTCAAGTACTTAATACATGTGTTATCTATCAAACATTAATATAGAAGTTCATATTGAATCATTACACAAACAACGAAAGAAGGTCTTGTAAAGTAAAATATAAAATAATATAATCTTTATTGCGCTAATACCTATCGTACGTCGAGTTCAAATAAAATTTGCAAGAACACAATAGGATCTATAGTACATTGCAATAATGTGACACTTCAATAGGTTAATAATTTATAAAATAAACAATTGCTTTGCTTTGATGATGAAGTTTAAAATATAATATACTTCACGAGATCAACAATGTAAAATAAAAATTCCCATGCATTACAAAATTATTAAGAATAAATAATCAATAAAAATTTGGATCAGACTTGAGTTAAATATTCAAATTGCCTACATTAAACCTTCAGTATAAATGCTTATTATTATATCTAGTCACTAAAAGTACATTGATAAAATGGCTCGTAAGAAAAAAAAAACTTAGCTGTTTATCTATTAAATTAGCAATACCCAAATATGATTCTATACTCTCAAAATCGTGGAATGTTTAGAAGTATAACTTCATTGATTTACGTGTTATTAAATGTTTACTATTAGGTATCCAATAGTAAGCTCTTTAAATATATTTAAGGAGGATCAGTACATTTAGCGATTGATGAATATTATAAATATACCAAATTGGGATTAAAAAAGTTTTTTTCTGTCCACCACATCTTTGATTCTATAAAGTATTGTACTCGATATTTTTATTATTAACAACTTTATAAGAATTATCTGTAGTTGATCGGCCGCTTCTTTTACAGCCACCAGTCGAATCACCTCCAGATGCGGCAAGTGTTGTCTTTGGAAGCTGTGACGATGGCGTCTCCGGCGTAAGAGTATGCACAGGAGAATATCTCTCCTTGGTGACCAGACAACACCTAAAGGCGAAAAGTTGTGAAAACATGGGGTCTTAGAAAACTAATAACATGTAGTACTTCAAATAATAAATTCTTGGAAATGTAATGAGAATATGGAATCCATTATAACTATTTATGACGAAAATATTTTGATTTCAGAATGAAATCGGAGTGGCTAAATGAGCTCAGACACGGACACAAAATATGAAATAGCCGACTGAAACTAAATAAGTATAAGTAGTAAGGGCAATATCTAATTTTTTTATGTGATAGGGGGCAGACGGATCATCTGATGGTAAGTGATTACCGTTGCCCATGGACACCTGCAACACCAGAGGGGCTACAAGTGCGCTGCCGGCCTTTGAGGGACGAATATGCTCTACGCTTGAAAGTTTGAAGGTCGTATCGGTCGGGAAATACCGCTGGCGACAAACTGTTCCAGAGTTTGACTGTACGACTTGAATCTAAATTTTTACACTTTACATGAGGATAACATGAGATTTCGAACGATACGACTTAAAGCTGGTGTGCGGAGGTTCATATGTTTTCATACTAAACTAAACGATTCCAAAATACCTTTCTTCGGTGAGGCCGATAGTGGATGTGTCTTTAGCATTTTAATAAACTCAAATCTCTGTACACATGAATACCTGAATGCAGTTGCCTGTGTTAGTGTTCCACACGCGTGCACTGCGATCTGCAGATGCTGAGAGTAAGCATCCGCCCGCTGGGCTAAAGCACACCTGAAATAAATATATTTAAAAATTACAGTAAACAATTACAGTGCTATTAATAAACAATTTTAGCGTCAGAGTAAACTTACGCTAAAATTGTAATTTTAATGTTAGTCCAAATTCATAGTATACAGAGAATAAATAAACATACTTCTAGGAGTGAATATTACTCTTGTAGAACCTCGTACTGGTATAACCTTTGCGAAGTCTCTGGTTAAATAATATAAATTTTAACTAATACTAAGCGCAGCTTCTGCACTTAGTATTAGTTAAAATTCATATTGAAATTTACTCCAACGCTAAACCTTGTCTATTAATAACACTAATAATAAAAAAAAGGTACTGTCTATTTATATCTTCATCTAGATCCCGAGGACCGAGTGCCACAAGGCACACATCTTTCGCCTCCATTACTCTTTTTATACAAGGACACCGGTTTTTATAGTTTCTGAAATCACCGTCTAACAGCAATCAATTTGATTATGAAAAATACGTCTTGAATTATCGCATTGTATATAAATTTTATCAATCTATCTTCTCGTATTATTTTTATAAATAATACATCTCGACTGTATTTATCAACAAAGTATTTGTAGTAGGTATATAACATGACATACAGTATAATCTTACCTTAGAGACTTCTTCACGATGACCCTTCATGACTGCAAGTTCCTTGAAATCAGCACGCACATCATAAATGCGAGCCGAGCAGTCACTAGAAGAGGTAGCCATTCTCTGGCCAGCCCAATCGAAGCAAATGTCAAGCACCTAATTGAAAAAGAGCGATATAGAGGAAGTCGGATAAAAATTAACTAAGCAAATATAACGATATTAAATAAATATGTAAATAAACGGATTCGTGTTAAATTACACAATAGAACGTGAGTGATAAGAAATCTTCAACTGCCTACTCCGAGACCTCTGACCGTATTAAGACAAGAGAAATTCCAAAAACTCCGAAAACCATTTGTTGTATCATACACTCGGTTTGGTCTATTTTATCCGGCCTGTTCTGATCAAAATGTTTTTCAGTGCTATCAAAATCTTTTTAAGTGCTATAAACACTGATCAAAATGTTTTTCAGTGCTATTAATAAATAAGGTTTAGCGTCATAGTAAATTTTCGCTAAAAGTACCATTTTATTATTGGTTCAAATTCATATTATAAAAAGAATCAACAAACCTACTTCCTTCTAGGAGTAAACATTACTCCCGTAAAACCTCATACTAGGTTGACCTTTGCTAAGTCTCTATTAAATAATATGAATTATGATTATTAATACTAAGTGCAGTCTCAGCATAAATTTACTCCAAAGTTGAACCTTGTTTATTAATAACACTGTTTGTGTTCATCTGGACGAGTCGCTCGAATCAAGTTTTTGCAGACTAACTTCGACCCCAAGGAATTAATGGTCTTAGAAAATAAGTGTACCAAATTTTATAATTTTAGTTCCTGACATTTTTTAATTTGAATTGTATTCTATACGTCTGAATATAATCACATTGAGTTGTTCCGAGTGATTGTTTACTATTAACATAAGGTTATGATCTACTGATTTAGTGTTTTTTATCTTATGCCGTTGACCTTATTGTTATCTAGTTTTTCTACAATCCCACAACCAACTTTCATTGGTATTTAATTGGTACTATGAATGACTATGAAATACTAATAGTTTAGGTTTCTGCTGAAGAATTTCTATCTAGTTTCAATATATCAAATTACTATATAAAATCCAGAGATCTTTCAACTAGTTGAATTGTATCATCTGTTATATAATACCTCGTCTGTGTGTGAGGCAACAGTCGCTAAGCAGACTGTAGATCGTGCATCCCATAATTTAGCGCTGCCGTCTAAAGATGCTGAGCCCACTAGTGAACTGTCCCAGTTATACTGTACACTCGAGATTTCACCATCGTGTCCACGCAAAACTGAGACCCGGCTGCAAAAACAACATGGATTATAAACTAAATATAAACTGGCAAAAGAACTGATCTGGTTAATAACAAAATATGTTTTTTACTAACACTGTATTCAAAACCAAAATTTTAAATTCCATTGAAAAAACCATATCACATTTTATAAGGTGTTAATGAAGATATTATGAATAAGTATTTTTTTAAGGATGTTGTGTATAGTTATTACTGGCATATAGATTTGTAAAATAACTTAGTTGATGTTATCTGTGGTGTACAATTTGTATTTTGTTATTGTACTGCCTGTATGGTTTATGAACTTTCTGGGACCAAAACCATACTTGTTTATTTGTGTGGAATTATTTTATTTACAAGAATCAAGTGATAGCTTATATGTTAGCAATATTCTACGTTCCAGATCATTTGCTGCAAATATATAGTGAGGAGACGAGGCGAGGCAAAGAAACAAGAAACGAATAATAAACAAAAAGACAGATCAGTAACGCAGGTTCAATATTAATGGAATAAATAATACGGAAATTGAAATAATTTTATTTATCCACCTTGATTAGGGTTTGAGATGGATGACGAACAACTACGGATCTCCGAAACGGTAATATAATAAAACCAGTACAAGAGTTTCAAGCAATTCTTGAAAAGTACTAAGCTATGATAATGACAGCCTTACTCTTTAACCCTAGTGTCCCAAACGGAGATGGTACCATCAAAGGAACCCGTGATGAGGCGTTGACCTTCATTAGGATCGAATTGCAGCGTAATTACCTCCGCCGTGTGACCCTCGTAGTTCAGCAACTCCGTGCCTGAATATTATCTTCATTTAATAGGAGGAAAAACTAATATAGCGTCTTGGGTGTGGTAAAGGAGTGAAAGAGACATGCAAAAAAGTGTTTCTTTTTCTGCTCCGCTAACACAACAAACATTGTGAGAACCAGAGCTAGCATCGAGTTAGATTGCTGGTTAGCTATTAAACTACAGTAGGGTTAACTCTAAACAGGGTATATATTTTGCATCATTCGAAATGACGTAAGCACAGAATATATGAGACACGTGTGAATTAATCAAGTTTTATATTTTTCTACAAAAAATGAAACCAATAAAATTTCTATACTAAATGACGTGATGACGTGAAATGACGTGACGGACACATAAGTGAATTTGAATTCGGGGCCGGATTTTAAATGAATCGCTCTTCAGCACGTGTATCATGACGTACTCATGAAACGGTTTACTACATCCTAATAACACTTTTCTCGGGTGGACCCCTGCAATATCTCACTAGAGTTGTTCGAATCTATAACGCTAGTCGTGCAAATTGTTAAATTCTCACCGGTCTTCACGTCATACAGCTTCGCGGTATGATCCATAGAACCAGTTGCAGCCATATCTCCTTTGGAGTTGAACTGTGCAGCTACAACTTCACCTCGATGACCCCATAGGGTTGCGAGGCATTCAGCGCTAACTGGGTCCCAGACCCGAGCAGATTTGTCGAAAGACCCGGTTATGACTCGATCGCTGTTTATATTGTACGTCAGAGGTTTATTTTTAATAGAAGCCATTGTTTCCAATGATCACTATTTTGTATTATGTTGAATTAAACAAATACTAGAAGGAGAATGTTAAAAAAAATATATAAGAAACTAGCTAACTATAAGAAACGCAGTCGAGATGCGTTCCTTACGTAGAATTTAAAGAGTAACTCTCGTACTATTTCTAAACAAATATGATCTATATCATTTAAAATCTAAGTCTGATTTTAAGGTCTTTAACCACACCATGTAGGAAAGTTGAAGGCTACGGAGTAGACAACGTTCTGATGACCCTCTAGTGTCTTCAACTCTTTCCCAGAATCCACATCCCATACCTTGCAGGTCCGGTCGTAGCTGCCCGTTATGCATCTGCAAAAATATGATTACGATTACAGTTTTTAAGGATATATACAGCTCTGAACCGAATAGATGTATATAGCTTATTCATTACCTTCACAGGATTTGCCAACGAAAGCAATAAATTAGCTACTATGGCGACAAATGCTTACCTTGCATGTAGCTAAGACCAAAACGGCCAAACGTAACTTTCGAACCTGATAACGTTAAACATCGAAGAACATAAAGAAACGCTCATTGCAAGTATAATACAAATTAGTCACCTTTTCCCAGATTTGTCAAAAGCCACATTAGTAAGAGGCAGTATATGAGTTTGCAACGTTTTGTAGATGTAGAACCTTTTGCCAGTAGGACCTTCATGCTCGATCCTTTTCTTCAAAGTATCTAGACATTGTAGGAGCTGGTCTTGTACTTCTTCAGTAAGAAGAACTTCTTTTTGGTAAAGACGATTGGCTATCTCTTTTATATCTGAACTGGAATAAAAGAAATTTCAACTGTTAATTTTGATTAACAAAGCTTATACTTCGTCGCTCAATGACGTTGGCAAACATTTGCAACCAACCAAGTTGTGAGAATAGTATACCGAATAAATATCCCATTAAAATATGAATATATTAATAACTACTTTATTATTATCAGCCCTTTTACGTCTCCACTGCAGTGCTCTGGCCTTCGTTGCGGATGGTTAAGGAAGGTGAGCTATAAGCCGCCACGCTGGCGATTAACGACTGAAAATAGAGCCGAAAAGTTGGTTGGCTTAACGTGCCTTCAGAAACACGGAGTAGCAAGACAAAATAATATTTTGGTTACCCATCCAGTGAGCGACCCTTGCGAAATTTGCTAAACAACAATGATAGCGGCGCTTATCCTCAACGCCACTGAGCTACTTAACTACATTAAACTATAAATATTAGACTACATCGCATACATTTCTCAGATCTTAAATTAAGTAGCTAAATTACTTGAACTATAGTTTTCTGGAACAATGAAGGTAACAAAACACTCAATCCCGAGATAATGTCGAAAAGTTCATTTTTTAGATTGATCTTACCAGATTCGAACCTAGGACCTTAGAGATTGGCATGTGAGGCACTCTGCTCTAGAGGTATAATATGAATTAAGTAAAAAAAAAGTATATTGTTACTTACTTGCAGTTCAGTTCAAGAAGATCTATTTCTTTATTTTTAATGATACCTTTTTGAAGATATTCCAAGGTAATACCCGGTGGATGGTATCTCAAATGAAACTTCAACAACTTCATTGTATTGAATTTTTAAAGGACCGAATTACTTGTTTCTAATAGTCATAAAAATCATTTTTCTCTTTTTATTGTTTTGTCGCAGAAACTTGGGAAAAACGGTACTAAGAAAATATTTGTTTCAGTTGTGTATTTTTGTGTATTTTGTCAATAAAACGTAACCATGACAATCAGAATTTGTTATATCTATGGTTATATTTTTATTTATGTTTTTACTTTAGAATAGGCTTTTACATTTGACTATGGTACAAAGCATAGATTTTATGCTAGGATCAATTGTTTTTATTACTCTTTTTCATGTTTCAAATCTAGTTTTAATGCTGTAGTAAAACTGTACTGTTCGAATTATTGTCTTTTAGTTAATACACGTATATAAAACTTTTAAGGTGTATTACATAAAACTTATTTGTGTTTTTTTATAAACTTCAAAATGTGTTCACCTGCGTTGTATTTTTTTTATATTATGTTCATCGATTATTTCGAGAAATCGCACAGCTTATGGGTCCGTGGTAGTCCTAATATATTTTTGTCTCTATTTTCTATATATATATATATTTATATATATAATTATTGTTATTTTAAATTCGCCTTAAAATACAAAGATTTTCCTAATAATATCGACAATAAATATAATTATAATCAATCATTTCCATAAGTCATCACAAAATAGCTCTTATTCATATGACAAAACCTACAGTTTGCTTATTCGAGGCTAGAGTGTCATTAGAATTCCTTTTGTAGGAACTTCCTTATTAGCTACTTGGAAGCAACAAAGGGCTGGTGTGTGCATGTGGCCCAGATACCTAGCGCCAACTGGCAGGCCTTTTAGGGTTAGGAGTATCGTACACTTTTTATCCCACTCAAAAAAAGGGTTTACAATTTTGACATGTGTGTATATAATTTCGTTATTGTAGCTTTATTATTAGTATTCATTTATTACTGATATAAATTATCAGTGAAATAAGCCTATTTTATTTATAATGTATAATATGAAATTATAGAACAAACTGACCCCCCACGGACCAGATACATTATACAATCGTATAACAATAATCAAAAGGGAAACGCCTATAAAATATCTTTTAAATATTTGAGACCTAAATAAGCTATGCTCAACTTAAGTTATATCTTTTACTTCGAAATTGAAAATGTTCGCGTTTATTTTCCCGGAATCTGTAGATGGGTTTTCAAAAAAATATTCGAGAACTCATGGGCATGAGGTGACCCCATAAAAAATATTGGTAATAGTATATAGTAAATAGTAAAAGAGCTAATCTAAGCACTTTTACTCTTATAAAATATATGGAAGCGTCACGTCAATATTAAAAATACAAGGATATATTTATGTCATAGAAAAAAGACAATATATCGCGTATTTTGCTTCAATTGAACTTCAATTGAATTTTGCCCGACTTCAATTGAATTTTCATGATCACTTTAAAGATGAGTATACCTCGTTCTTTTCATTTTATTTAATTACCTTTAACACAGATACACGTAAACTATCCTTTAATGAAAAATGCTCCAGTCTCTACTCAAAAAATTCACTAGTTACAGGTACACCGGCACGGGACTGAAACCCTCAAGATCTTCGCAAACCAGGAGACTGTTCTAAAACTTACAATTTCTCAAGCAGTTATTACTTTACTACTTATGATCGTATTTTCACCAAACAGCCAAGTAATTTTTACATACTTTACAATAAACATATTAGAAACACCGCATATATTATTCTGGAAAGTGTGTGAAAGACCTAAAGACCTACTATGGAATGGTAAGCCTCCACAAATAAAGCTTTTCACTTTTCAGGCTTTTCATCATTGCGTGTTGGCCGCATTTTCATCGTACATTGTATGTTTTATGATGAGTGAATGTATCTAATATTAGTTCCAGCCAAAAATCTAAAGATTCTGATGACATCTATCTATCTTGATATCTTAAGTAATTGATCTTATACTCAATAAATAAAGAAATTTTAATTTTTTTCTTTTTAATAATAATGTTTAGTGATATTATAACCTAAAATCAGTTTAATAATGAATAATGGATCACTTTAATTACTCGATTTTAATTCAGTGTCCAAGAAACTGTTTAAGTGTATTCCTTAAAACCACAGAATTCAAAAAACAGCGGTTTTAATTAAAATGCACATATGTATCATTAAGATCGAATGATACAGAAATTACAAAGCATGCACCTACCATGGCATTTACACGTGAACTATTTTCTCAAGCTCGCGTATTTCCGGTAGGGTGACTAAGTATGCCTTAGAAAATAAGTACTCGTTTAATTAATATACTTACTATACACATTCTTATTACTTTTTATTGACAAATAGTGTATTTAATTCTGGTTGAATTTCAGCACGCAACATTTGTTTGATTAATTATTTCTAAATCAGTAATGATACAAGCAAATAAAAAAATATCAAATAAACCTAAATAATTTCGTTCCGAATATGTTATTATGAGTACGTAATATTTAGCTTTGGAATGTAATTTCAAGATATTGGAGAAGCTTTTTTAGTACCTACATCATACTAATTGTGTCACTCACGGATTATGTCTATTGTCAAAAATATTTTAACTACTTGAATTTGCTTGTGTAAATTAATTTCAAAAAGCTATTGAAATAAAGTTTGCTATCAAAAATTACTTTGTTCAAATAAAAATCTACTGAATTATCTCTGTTAGATGCAGATGCAGAAATCTTTAATTATATCCTCCATAATATTTTTTTCGCACTTGAGTGATTTTACAACACTTGTTACAACATCATCTAGGCTTAATAATATACCGCGCAGTGCGCAGCGAAGCGTACCAATTTGTCCACAGTTTCCCGGGTTGTTGGTAACACTACACGTCCGGTCAAACAGGTTGCGCTTGCGCCTCTAGCCTGGGTCCTTGACCAATCGGCGATGCGTACTCCATGTACAGTCTGCCGCGCGGCAGGTGAACTGGCGCACGTGTCGCGCGCGAATTTAAATTCGACATTCGAACATCGTGTGTTCCAAACTTTTACTTTCAAAGTTGCGTCACTGATTACGATTCTGTAATCGAACCTATTTTTTTTATCGAGTGATCGTGTCTGTATATGGAACGTAAGAGTTATGGAAATGAGTGTTGCGTGAATATGTTTACATTATTATTATTGTGATCAAGAAGTGTTAATTATTTTTTTAATCTTTAAACGTCAATAATTTTGTGTTTTTGTGTAACTGTCGGATTCTACCCTCAAGGTTACAAACACTACAGAGTAAGTTTGTTCAGACAGTACACCACCTATATTTGCATAAGGTTAATATTGCTATTCAATCGTAACAGCTTTTCAAACAAATCACAAGTAGGAATAATAAAACACATCATTTCAGATATAAGAAATTTCAGAATATACATTTAATTCATGATCTTGCCTATTAATATCCCCACTGTTGGGGCACATGCCTGGAATAGAATCGAATAGGTAGAATGGACAATGATTCACCACGCGTTGATGGGTGTTAAAATCCGCAGATATAATAGACAAAAGGCTTTGGCCGCAATGGTGCCTTTGAGCTTGAGATAATACATTTTTTGGTCACCCATCCTATAACCGACTCTTGCGAGAGTTGCTTAATTACCACATCACATGTCAAACGCGCTAACCATAACACCATCGAGCAGATCGTTTACATTATTTACCTAATTATTGCATTGAAATGCTTATTTCTACAGATTTTCACCGTGTCGAGTTCAAAAATTACTTTAAGATATTTCTTTAGGTACCTATGTCGTAACAATAACCAAATAATTGATTTCGCTAAAAAAATTGTAGAGTTTTATAGTCAATAGCGGTGTATTTTCAAAAGTGTTTACTAAATAAAATTATTCTAAAGAGTTTTTATCGCATTATGGCATTTTTTTCTATTATCTCCGCGTTATTGACGTAGTAGTAGGCAAGTAGGTACGTATACTGACTAATGTGGACAACATTAGTACATATTAAGAGTTTCTCGCCATAAAAGATATTGTTAACATGTTTGAAGACCTCCGTGGTTGATTGGCTGGCAGATATTATGAAGAAGCTTTTACCCGCAACTTCGTTTGCGTGGTATAAGTACTATTTACAGTGGTTTATTTTTAACCAACTTCAAAAAACAAGAAAAGGTTTTCAACTTGAATGTTTTCTTGTATTCATATTGCACTTTTTTGTTTAAATGAGTCTCGAAATAATCCCACTAAAACTTTGACGAAATTAAATCAGTAGTTTTGTTTTAGTTTAAAAAAACTGGATGAACTACATCGCCAAAATGAACTTGTTGTGGCGATTGTAAAAATGTTTATTTTCATAAATAAACAGACCTCAACATCGTAAAACGATTCTTCACAACAATCAAAGAAATTTAAATTCAAATAAAATTTCGTTTGAAGTCAGACATGTAAAAATTTAGCCATTAAATCATCGCCCGATTAAAAATTGAGTATCTAAGTACATTGAATTTTTAATTATTCGATTATTATGAAGACGTTTTTTCTCCAAGTTTACATTCTTTTCAAAATGACATAAAAAGTTATTATTTATTTGGTTTTAAAGAAAAGTAGAAACAAACATATGAATTTAAGTAAATAAAATATCCCCATACAAACTTTCTACCCGTATTTTCATTCCTTTCATAACATTCGTATGAAATCTATTCTATATCTTTTTAAGTGCCTTATACTTTATCATTACAAATTTTATCTAAATGGTTTCAGACCGAGTTACGTTTGCATTGATAGTATTAGCATTATTAAAAAAATTACCACTTCTCTGGTAAATCAGGTAAGTTGCAAAAATATCACAACTCGTGGTAAACCAACCTCAAAGGCTTGATGCCAACGTGAAGTTTTATTCCTGGGATTATTTTAAATTCGATTCGGTTTTTCTGGTAGCCAGCATAAAATTATCTTTTAAACCCTGTACCGTTATTCTTGTACAATGTCTTACTGCAAAACATGTTAAATGTGCCTTTTTTAATAAAATATAAAAATTAGAGTTTAAACTTTGTTGAGGAAGAGGACTATACAGAAAATATGAAAAGTAGTATACTGCATCCTCGATATTAGTTACAATTTCGAGTTTGATTTTTTTGTAATGAGATTCGTATTAGAGTTCCGTACTTAAAGGATAAAAAAGAAAACCTATTGTTAAGAATCCATTTTCCATCCCTCCGTCTGACAGTCTGTCTGTCATTAGGCTGTTTCTCATGACATTTGAAATTTTCACAAATGATGTATTTCTGTTGCCGCTATACTAACAAATATTAAAAAAAAAATGTTTAAGGCAAATCCCATACTAAACCGTGTTTTTTTATTCGTTTCCGGTACGCGACCCTCCATGTGCAAGTGCGACTCGCACTTGACCATTTTTTTACAATGTAGTTTCTAAAGAATTACCAATGGACACAGTTCATGTTGTTTTCTATTACTTTTTTGGACCTGAATATACCTATCTACATATGTTGCAATACCTATGTACTGCTGTAAGTGATCTTGCGAGTTTCTGAACTAATGTTGATTCACATTTCTTACGATTATCGTAACATTTCTTGCGTTTCTAAATGATTCTCGGGAAGGTAGGTCAAATAGTTTTACTTGTCATTAGATTATTTTAGCTCACAGCCTGGTTTTAAAGAAGTCATCGTGTGGAATTAAGTGTACATACATTGTTCCTAATCTGTTTTCTATGGTTTCCAGCAAGCCTACCGCTTGACAACATTGACTTCGATTTGATTGATATTGTGGTTAATCAAAATGCGCTCAACGCATTGGATTTAACTCGATATAATGTACATATTTTATATACGATCTAACAATACATATTGAACATTGAGTGCAATACAATGTCAACCAAATAGAAGCCAATGTTGTTACGCGGTACCCTAATAGTCGTCTGTTTTCGTTGACGATTCGCAATACTTATTCAATCGATTGTATTTCAGTCCAGTTAATTTGTTATCCTTTTCCAACACTACGAAAGCCTTTTACTACTCAAGATAATCTTCTTGGTAAACTGGCAATTTCACCTTGAATAGGTGTTCCTTGTTACTAAACGCTCTCTTAGCTATCATTGTTTTCATTATTTTATTAGAAACACAATAATATCACTACTATAGTCCTTATAAATTTAAAAAATCGGCAGCGTGTGTTATTTTCTTTTCTCAAGCACATCGTTGTAAATTCCAAACTACTCATCCAATTGATTTGGTGTAAAAGACAATTTTTATTTGCATTTAATTTCTTTGTCTATAAGCATATTTATTTTGTTAAGGATTCATTATCACTTATTCAAATAAACGTCTAAATACGGACAAAAAAAATTAATATACTTTTATGACAACCTTCGTAAACTTTCGTATTTTTTTTTTAAATCTTAGCACATAAATATAGATTTTTTTTATAGATAACTTGTGGCCGCCAGCGACTTCGTCCGCGTTTTCCATTATTTCTTCGCTCTTAATAGTTGCAGCGTGATGTTATATAGCTTAAAGCCAACCTCGATAAATGGTCTATTAAACAAAAAAATATTTTTTCAATTCGAACTAGTAGTTCCTGAGATTAGCGCGTTCAAACAAACAAACAAACTCTTCAGCTTTATAATATAAGTATAGATTTAAAGCTCTCCAACTTTACTTTAGAAAACGTTCGTATATCCCTTATCGTTTAGGAGCGTTCACAAAAATAGGCGCCATTGAAAGTACTTCTATCCTTAGGGAATCTTTCAGTAGGATAAAAAGTAGCCTATATGTTAATTCAGACCAACATTTGTCTTTATACCAAATTTCATCAAGGGTGGTCATTTTGAATAAAATACATATTTTACTGTAGATTATTATCTATTTAATAATTACTGAAAATTTTAGAAATATAACTTAATTATTAAAAAAGTTACGCAACTTTTCGTCTCAAAACTTATGAACACACGAGGTATAATATTAGAAGGAAGTAGGATAACTTGCTACAAAAGTGGTGGAGTAGTTGGCACGTCGGTATCTTGGTGTCGTGGCTATTGAAAACCCGGGTTCGATGTTACTATATTATATTGAATCGGGTCTGGATGTTGTGTTGAATACTGTACATTATATATCTAAAGGCTTTATTAATTTCTGTTCACAGAACGCATTTTCTGTGTTCTGTGTTTCTGTTCGTATGCAAGAAGAAAACTAAACTGATTTAATTAGATATTTTAATTTAATTAATTCACTTATTACATTTGAAGCTTAGGGTTCCATAACAAGGGGTAAAAACGTGACCTTATTATTAAGTTGGTCAGTATTTATCAAGTTGAAAATTTCACAATTAATATTTATTCTGTAACTTTTTTTTTATTTACATTACAGTATTAAACATAGTTTCACATAACTGAACTCTTGTTAATTATCACTTACACCAGCAGAGTCGTTATTAAAAAATAATATCTATTTCTAAGTGTCTTATTACAGTAATTAAAACAATTACAGATTTATCTTAAGCCTATGTAGGTATAACATCTTTCATTATGAAACAAACATAACAATTGCTGGCTTAAAGCCACATTATTATGATTCAACTTATCATTTTAATTCAAAGTTAACAAAGAGTTCATCAAAGAATTAATATTAGAGATTACTATAAACCCAGTGGCGTAGCGTGCATTGGCGGGGCCCCGTATAATAATTTTTTAGGGGCCCTTATGGAGGGTACAGATTTCTCACAAAAGTAAAATAAATGTTTGATTAAATGATTATTATTATAAACTGTGCGAATTGTAATCGTATGTACGTCGATTATTGTGAGATTCCCCCATTGAAGTAAATGACTTAAAAGGAGTAATCCTGCAGTCCTCGAAAACCGAGGGTGTTGCCAACTTTGAAACGGACGCTTACGCGTTTTTTTACTTTTGTCATTTCTGATAAAAATTAAATTTGGGAAGTTTTTATTAATTTTTGCTTACGCACGTTGGGGGCCCCTCCTCGCCCTGGGGCCCCGTTTAACTGATACGGCACATACGGAGATAGTTACGCCCCTGTATAAACCTACAAACAGCTCACGTATACATTGCAAATAACACCGTAAAAGTTATCGCAATTGTTCATTACGATAAAAGCACAGTGTAAACTGTGATAATAGCGTTTGCTTGCGTCATGCATTTCCAATCTGAGTACAATGATTGAGAAAGACTCAAAAATATTACCCTCAAAAGGGAAAAATAGTAAAAAAAGGACTAAGGGCTAGTCCATCGCAGCAACAGCTTATTAGCTTCATCCTATTAATGATTGATTGGTAGACATATGCTATTGTATTCATTAAAACAAACATGGGGAAAATTCAGAAAAAAAATATATAAACAAATTATGGTTTTACAAACTATGGCCTGTCATTCACCTAAAAGCGCAATGTAAAGCTTTACAAAAAATTTTCTAAACTAAAGCCTGTGCACGAGTTTGAGTTAGAATGTTTTTATTGTGTTAGTTGTTTTCTATCTTATTTCAATGGCATATGTGTGACCAGTCTGTATTTCTATACTATTCTGTCAAGAAATTACCTCAAACTCGACGACGACTCGAACTCGGCATAGAACTTCAATTAAATCCTTTCTTACGTTGGTATTATGCGATTGAATCTCAACGCAGTGACAGCGCCGTCGATTTCTAGGCAGTTTTTATAACAGAATAGCACTGCTGAACTTGCTTAAATATGTATTAAAAAGGTATTTTTTTATAATTTTAAGATAACAGATTCGAAAATATTTACTTGAACTGTCTACTAGACCTCTCATTAAAAAATGTACTAGTTCTTTAGTTATTACAATAAAACCAGACTTAAGTACGACTCACACTAGGCTTTTTTACACATATACAAGGTATATACAGCAATCATGACTTTTCATAAAAAATCTAATAGAAGAAATTCCTACATTATACTGTCAATTTTACCACGAGCTTATCATCCAAGCCGAGAGCATATTCACATGCGTCTCATAGATAATTTTCTAAGTCAGTAACATTGTACCAACGCCCATTTTCCGGGGCACTGACTAAGAAGTGACGTCGTCACTCTGGAAAATTGGCTGACTGCAACAGGGTAATTCAGTACTTTGTCGATTCATAGTAACATGTGATTTGTGACGTCGCACATGTTTTTCTTTAAACGCCTAGATATTATGCATTTAAATACAAGATCGAGGAATAAACAATCGCTCATATAAATATCCGAATTTTGATAACAAGCATTCTCTTCTAAGGACAAATAAATTAGGACGTTATGGGGTATTAGGTGCAATGTTAGGAAGGATATATCGAGCGGCTATCCGTTATGATCACAGATTTAAGAAAAAATAGAATAATAAGATATGAATTATTTCATCAACGGTTTCAAGACGTAGTAGATCGGATCCTGATGATCAGTCTCGTAAAGAATTCCATAGTCAAAATCAATATAATCTTTATTCAAATAGACTTAAAAGTACTTTTGAATCGCTCAACATTTTTTTTCCCTACCACTCGTTTAGGACGTCTTTTGGCTGATAAAAAGTGCAAGAAACTCACCAGCTCTAATAGATCAAAACCATGTCATTACCAGATCAATACATTAGAAATAGAGAGACAAAAAAACTATGATCTTATAATGATAACATAATCATTTAATAATAATGGAAACAAGAAAATTTTTTATATATCACGAGTTTAGAAGTAATCACCTATCCGTATACAGTGAGCAGTTCTTAATTCTACAACATCAGCAATAACGTACCGGAAAACTGAAGGGGTTTGGAAGCAGAACGTCACTTGGGTTATTAGTTGTCGGTTTATACGTGTTGTCTAGCTAAATCAGAAGCCATCACTGGAAAGCTACATTATACAACTAAAGAAGATATTTTTTCTATGATCCTTAAAAATAAGAGATTTTTATAACACATCGCTTGTTGAAATTAAAATTTAAATAACTAGTTGCAGTGTTCACCAATAAATTTAAGCCGAACCTTATTTGATAATTATATCATCAATATAGAACGCCCCGACTGAGCGATAAAAGTATCTAAAGAAGGATAATGGTTGCCGTATAGGGGCTCGACCTTGCTCACTACAGGTGTGGGACGATTGTGCCCAGCCGGCAGACCAGAACGGGCGCGTCACTTGCTGACACCACTCCCATGATGCACGTCATATGTTTATTGATTAGTCGATGTCTGTGCACTGCTAATGATTTAAACGTTCACTTCCTAGTTAGATTTCGTTCATCACTTACTATTACTTTTAATATAAATTATTATTACTCATGCTTTTTTTAAAGAATAAAGACAAATATCGGTTGCGGAATTAAATAGATTTAAATCTGTGTTGTTTGCGTTCAAATTGCTACTTATAAATCAATCAAGCCATAAGAACAATTAGTCACTATTAGTAGGTTAAATAAAATTGCTTATTTTCAAGTGGACTGCAAAAAGAAAGCAAATAACTGCAATATCTAATGAGATCACAACAATTTATGTTTTATCGTCTTTTAGGGCAAAGATTACAAATTATAAATCACACAGAAAATATATACAATTTAACTGTTCCCTAGGGACCATGAGGGTGAATCCATTGGCGGAAAGTTAGTATTTAATTTAAAATATCAATATCGTTTAAAAACCATGAAACAAAAACTAAAAAAATAGAATCGACTAAAACTTTTAAAAAGCTTTAATAATACTTATCTCAAAAGCGACTGCTTCAAGAAAATGCAATCGAAGTTGGACGCTTATCATTTAATTAATTAACCTACAACCTATTTTATTGGCTCTGACAGATATTTATATAATTTGATTTTAATAATACAATATGTGATTGTGTTTCATTGGCCTTGTTTTACATTGAAACAGCTGCATTTTGTTGACTTTTTCTACATCAGTAGAGTTTTTTAATAAATATTATTTAATGCCTTTATATAGACAACTATTCGTTTAAAATTACTATAGTTTTGAATTCTTTATGTTATTGAAATTCACCAAAACTCTGGTAAACGAGGTTATACGAGGTAAAATAAATTATATAGAATTTGTGATATCTTCATTTCTCACTAATTACTTCACCTTAATTTTCTCAGACCGTAAATATAGAATAACAATCACTTTCGAGGTTAGACGCGACGATTCAATGTCAATTTTGTGTCTTTTTTTATATTAATCAGACAAGCTTAACCTTTTCATTAATTAGGTAATAGTTTTTTCTATCTATTAGACTAGATCGATTCATAAAAATGCCTAGAAAATCGAAGCATTTACCTGATATTTTCTGTAAATTTCTAAAACAAAATAATCATAGATAGATTATATGTCTACGTTAAATTGTAAGCATTATCATTTAATCTTACAAAGATCATTATAATCTGACCTAACCTATAACTACGATCAATGATGATTAATAATCTTACGAGAAACAAAATTATATATTTTGGATTTTGGCAACATCAAGCATATTATGAAAGCTTTGTATTTTTTATACAATCTTTGACAGAACTTTTTCATAATTTGTAACCGGAGTATTATTCTTCCTTTTTAGGACACATTATTTTTTTTTTATTAAAACGCAAATTAATTCAAAATGTATACTTACGAATGAAATGTGACCGCTTGGTCTTTAGATGACTTACTTATGTTGTTTCTACAGTTTCACATAATACACATGATATTTTAAAAATTATTATGATACAATCAACAACCAACGATTTCGCCAGACTGTGCTCAGGTTTGCTAATTATCATAGTTTTAAGGTGACACTTTTTGAATTCAAGTAACCTATCTACCCTTTTTTTATTGTAATATCATTGTACATTGTGCAATGAAATTCACCGTGTTCGTATTCGGATACCACCATTTTGACCCGATAAGCCAGTTTTCTCCATTGGAGCAACAATTTATTTTATACCGAATAACTACCAATGAAACGAAGTCCAATTATCTGGTAATATTTAGATATACTTTATGCCAGATAAATGAGGGACGTCAAAATAAAAACCCCCTGATTTCTGACAAATATCCAGACTGTCATCGCTTCTCAAACTAACCTATCATTGAACAAACTAGCTGATCTCACTGACAAAATTTATGAAATCGCCCTGTCCAATGTTCAAGTCGAATCCAATTCACTTACTTCATCAAGTTGTGCATCAAATCCTATGAATCCTTAATACAAAGAATTAAATAAATGAATCGGCCCATCCTCCTTAACCATCCATAAGGAAGGCCTGAGCCCCTGCAGTGGGGACGTAAAAGAGCTGGTGATGATGATGATAATGATGATGAAATAATCGAATCAGCGAGCTCACTAAACAAGTCGCATTTTTGTCAATTGACAAAGATGCGACTTTGGAACGTTCTGGAAGGTATCGCAGAAATTATCGTTCTTGTAGCCGTTCAAGTTCACGACCTCGTCAAACTCCGCCAGATCATCCACATTGCTTTTATCATTACACTTTTGGTTCTCAAGCCAAGAAGTGTAGGAAGCCATATAATTTCCAGTCGACGAAAAACGCACTGGGCAGTCGAAATCAGCGGCCAGACGGACAACCAAGATGCAGTTCCTTGTAAATACAGGTTCTGACAGACCAATCCTAGGTGTTGATTTCCTGAGTTTCTACAATTATTCATCGATTGTAAGAATCACTGTATGGAATAAAGGATTAAGAAGATGGAGGATGAAAGTTCCAGTTTCAGATTTTTTTTCTGTTATTTGAGAACTAAGGATCATCAATTCCTATAGAAAGTACCCTATATATCATGAGCGATGTATACCGAAATAGGGTTTATTTCCACATGAATAAAATCAAAAGTATAATAGCTATATAGTTGGAACTTTATATGCTTATAAGTACGTTACTGGAATTGCATCGCGAAAATTTGATGTATCTAGTATAATCCCAACACAAGTAATGAGGGTCCAAAAATCCGATGAAACGTTTTGAGAAAAAGTAGGTAGTGCCCTTATGCGTTTTGTTGTTGGTTCGTCTTGGTGGCCAAGATACAAATCGATATAATTTTTTTAGTTATTATTTAAATTCACCATCGGAAAGAAGTGTTTGACCGCTTTTCTAGTTTTTGTCACTAATTAAAATCTTATAAATAGTATATTTTTGATTTGATTTGATTTAATTAATAAGTTCGTTGTTATGTATACGATAGTTTTCCGTTTGCTATTCATAACAAATGGTATGGAAACCCGTGGGACTGTTTCGCCCGTGACCCGCTTTTCCTCTTTGTTCATTCATAAATCGTCGTTAATTGTGTGACATACAGATTGCAACATTGATTTTTATAACAACTTTAATCATTGTGAATGCTGTTGATGGCATCAACATTCTGTTACAAATATAGCGTTGAAGTAGCGCTGTCGAAGCACCAGAAGTTCAATCAAATAAAGCTGACTTTAAAACGTTTTTATTTTGGGTTACGAAATCTGGACATTATTTAATCGTTGTGATCGACGTTGTGTTATTGCAGAATAGCATTGCCGATCAATGTGTGTCTGTCCACGAAATAAACGAATTTTTTTCATAATTTATGACGCAACAGAAGTAGGACCTTAAACCTCTTATGTACAGGGGCAGCTCTTCATGGATTTCTTCGTCCAGAATAAATCGAACATATGCCAATAAATGCTTCATTACCAAATAAAGTTAACTCGTCCAGTTGAATAGAAAAATGAGTTGTTTGTAGATACTTGAGTGTAGATACACAAGAAACTTTCAATATCAGAGCTCATTTCATCAATACGTCTTTGTACAGTATTGTTACTTAAAGGAGTTCTTCTAAGTACGTTACGTGAAGTCATGTGCAGAACAGTTTTTAAAACCTCTTCAACAGCTGGTAAAATTAACTGTTCTCCGATGGTGTGCGGTTCCCAGATTTCGCAATAAGTAATGAGATATTGTAAGATGCCCGCAAGCCATCATCGTTACTTTGAGACGTTGAAGCGAACATACTGTGCACGGTAGGTTTCTTTTCATATTTTTCTTTCAATGTTTGAAAATATTTTATATCTTTACCTATTTTATCAGGATGACACCTTCTTAGATGGTCTTCGAGCTTCGATGGTTTCATAGAGTCATTGCTCAAAACTTTGTTGCATAAAAGGCATGTCGGTAATTGTTTATCTGCCTTTGATGGAAGAAAACCAAATTTCAAATAATCAATACTGTACTGCCAACATCTCTTCTTAGATTCAGCCATGTTTCGTATCAGTTACCTACCTTAAAATATAATCAAGTGTATAGTATAGTATAGCTAGAATAATTTACTTTCTGCCAAGATCTGTATCACTCTACAAAAAATGAAAAAAAAAATATAATTACAAATATGCTAATCAATCAATCATATATCCCTCTTTTAGTGAATAACTACAGCCGGGTAAATAAATAATTGTATAATAAAAAGTACAAAATAAATCTAATAATGGACGTGTTCAGTATTTAATTTTTATTAGGTACGTACCTACTACACGCAAACATAACAAATATAATATTATTACAATCAAATAGGCAGGGAGGTACTTACTTTTCCGGGAGCGGGAAACACTGACATAGATTCACTCACACTTTTCTCTTCAAAATTCCGGAAACAAATGCGTAATAATTGTCTTTGGCATTCGTATTTATATTGGTGAAGAATCAAACAAGTTCATACAAGATTGTAAGCACAGCAGAAGTGGAATTTCGTAGTACACTATTTTATATCGTTATATTCCCTCCAGAAAATGGCGAAATCTATGAAGACAGTGGCGATGAAAACGACGCTAATATATCCTTAATCTTTTCAGCTGCATATTTCGATGTCAGGTTGAATTATAAAAATCGACTTATAGTTTCTCGACATGACCATGTGCAAGACATCGACGAAGGGAGGAATACTAGTCAAACCCAAACCATTTACCTTCCGTGGGTGGCATCGACCGTTATGATGAAAATTTCGACTCCATGAGAGTGTATTTGAATGTGGTTTCCTCTCTTTATACTTGGGTTGAGTTGAAAGAGACGAACAGAAAATCACTGGGCTTATTGTGTCTTCCGCCATTATGTTGCCGTTATCTACCTACAACAATATGGAATCTGCCAATCCGCAATACTGATTGTGAAGTCAGAGGTGTCTTAGGGAAATGCGCATCCTCATGCAGGAGTCGACTATTCTCAGCGAAGATGTGGATACTGCCATCAACGCACTAAGAAATGTGTGTAAAATGCAACATTTTGTGTCACCTAATCAACCTAAAAAGTGTTGGTACTTATTCCAAAATAAATAAAAATAAGATTAAATCATATGTAGGTACTATCGACAATTTTTTTTTTAAATACAAATTTATTCTTCATAAATATATCCCGTGTTTCATTCACTTCAAGATAATACTTAAACTTAATATATTGTATAGCTTATTGCCCAGTGTCACCTGTAGGTGACCCCTCAATAAATTGGGAGGGATGAAGTTGATCGTTTTATTTTCGTTTTTTTCCTTTCAATATATATTGAAAGGAAAAAAAGGAAAAATTTACTAAATAAGTAAGATAAAACTATAAAAAAGTAATAGTTTGGACATGGGAATTGAATGGTGAAAAAAACATAAATTGCTCTAAAATTAAAACATCTATACAATGTAGATGATATAATTGATAGAAACGACTATAATAAATTAGGTCATTTATAATAATAATACAAATAATTAAGATAGTGAAGTCTGTGCCAGTTTCTCGTACTAATTACCTCGCATGAGGTATAACAAAGAGTAAATATAGCCATAAAAGTATATTATACAATGTTGTTTTCACAACGTTATCTTTTGCACGAGCAACCTCATTTTCGTTTCCTTCTAACCACTTCTTAAATTACTAGCTTTCGCCAGTGACTTCGCCCGCATAGTCCCTTGGGAAATGTTTTGTGGAATAAAAAGTATCCTGTTATCTAAGTCAGCTAATACCCTATTTGTATACCAAATTTTATCAAAATCCGTTCAGTAGTTTCTGCGTGATTGACAAACAAACATCCAAACAAAGAAACTTTCACATTTATAATATAAATAAGATAACTATTAATTTAGTCAATACGTTTGTATAAAAAACGCTTCTTTGATATTTATTAGACAAGATTTATTGAAACTTATCAAAGTGTTACCCCACCGTTACAAATCAGTTTGAACAAAGTTGACCTTGGTTACCAACCGCGGATTGTGTTCGAATGTGATTTAAAGACGTTTAAAGTGAAAGTCCAAGTTAAAATTATATTTATCCAAATAGAAATCTTAACTTTTGAATCGTCCAACATTTTTCCCTACCTCTCATTCAAGAGATCTTGTAGCCGATAAGAAGAAAAGCAAAAAACTCACCAGATCTAATCGGAGTAACCACATTCACATAACTATGTCATTACCAGATCAACGGTTGGTAACAAGTAAGGTCACCTCTGTTGAAACGCCACGTGGTTTGAAACCACGTCGATCACACTTTAGTTAATCTAGCAAAACGAATTAATACAGTCACTCCTTTGTGTCTATTGCCCATGGGAGATGTGCAAGTGGCATAGGTATTTGTGGTTTTCATCTCATTCGGAAATTACATTTTATGGAAATCCACTCACTACCAGGGAAAGTAATAAAAATTTGGGAAAATCAACAATCTTGAATAGCTAAATTCGGATTGCAGGGCAAGAGCACTTGTGACTGGCAAATTTTTTAATCATTTGAATCTGATAATATAAATTTATTGAGATAAATGTCTAAATAACAACGAGGTCTTCTGCCATAGATTTGCGAATCAGTGGCATGACTATACCTAGAATTGAACGAAAGTTAATAAGCTAGATGTGTGTTTATATATAACTAATATTCTTCTCTTATTCGAATAGCCTGTTCGTTTTCATTATTTTAAAAATGCATTCTTTTAATTTATCAACATGAAAAAAAATAAAAAAAATATGTTAACATTATTAATCAAAGCATTTACCATTTAGAATCTGATGCAAAGACATCTTAATTCTAATTAATAGTAGAATGGTATAAATAATTGAATTGAGAACCTACATACTACCTGGGGATTAGCCCAAACATGGTGGGGGTTCTTAATTCAACTGAATGTTTTTTGTTTCAAGTGGGTAGTGCCTATAGTCCTTGTTAGACTTTAAATAGAAATTATTGAATATATGGTGCGAATAGTAACACTCTTATAACAAATAATAAATCACAGCAAATACGAAAACACAAAAACAGACAAAGAGCAACAAAAAAAAATAACAAATTGTAAAAACATGACATATCATATAAAAAACTTAGAAAAAAGGATGGTGTCTTTCCAGCCAGGCGACAACACTTTATTTCAAATATAATAGAACCGAATGATTATTAAGTGTATGTAACACTGTTCTTCCTCTATTACAGAAACCATGTCTTCATCTGAAGGTGGATGCGTCAACAAAGCGTTTGAAGGTGCCGACGACGGGTTCCACACCATCGATTTGCGTACGAGTCGACGTGACGGCGGCTCCGATCGGTTACAGTTGGTAACTAATAATTAATTGATATTATAGGAAAACTGCAACTATAATTAGATTGATTTTATGACATAAAATAACTGTAATCCAGTTATGATTAAAACAAAGTTCACAGACAAGTAGTTCTATTAATTCTGACAACCGTAGTCGAGTGGCGTGCCAGCCACTCTAACAGCCAGTTGCACAAACGTCCATTAAATTCTTCATTATTTTTAAGCGACATTACCCATACAAATTTGACATTCATTAGAGCTTAAAGGCGTCTTTTAACCTTAATGGACGTTTGTGCAACTGACCGTAAGTGTCATTATCTCTGACGGGTCGATCCTGGTCAGGTCAATGCAAGAAAAAACATTTAAAATATTGTCTTATATAATACAACAAAATAAGAAGGAATTAGCAACTTATCTTGTAATCTGAGCAATCACATACATTATGTGATTTGATAGTCTTTGAGACAAGATTTACATTTGTGTATATTTCGTTCAAGTTATCTATAGCAAATGATCAGACTCTGTAAGGAACATACGAGTTTTGCCTGATGATGCGGATTCCTAAAAACGATGCTTACTTAAATATAATAATAGTTGGAGAATTATTACTTACCATCAGTTATTGCAAAATAATATACCATGAAAGATAAATAATAAATAGTATTATCACTGTTTGTGTTGAGTTGTAAGAGATGATGTGATAATTCTAAAGAGATTTGTGGTTTGCAATATGGCAAGTGATATTACAGACCAACTAAAGTAGGTGCTGAGCTAGTCCATTAACAGTGTTATAATTAAACAAGGTTTATAGCTTTGGAGTAAATTTACGCTGTGACTGTCACTTAGTATTAGTAAAAATTCAGATTATTTAAACTGAAATTTATCAAAGGTTAACCTAGTACGAGGTTCTATGGGAGTAACATTTACTCCTAAAAGGTGGTAGGTTTGAAAAATTGCAGTTTTAGCGCAATTTTACTCTAATATTAATCCTTGTTTATTAATAGCATTGTCAAAGTTTATAATATCCCTAAAGACCTCCATCTTCAAAGTTTCGTAATTAATATTGGAAAGAACCTTTTTATAAAAAGTAAAAAATGCATGTCATACATAACATGTAATGTTAATATTTAAGTGATATCTGTTGGAAAGCGTATTTTGTTTTGTTATGAAAAGAAAACTAGTTATTCGATTTCAAATAAAATTTAAATAGGACCACCTCGATCTATCAAGCTGTTGGATAAAAAAAAGAATTTTGAAAATTGGTCAACAGTCGACCAAAAAAAACAACATAAATCGCCGTTGAACACAACCTTTTCTTTTTCGATTATGAAGTCGGTTAAAATATAAGTACACTTACGGTCAAAAATACAAAGGATAACATATTGGGTTACATATTGATATATTTTACGTATTATTTTACTATTTTGCAACACGTAACTACCGTAGATCCTGCATCTACTACAATACACACACATGCTATTATACACTGTTCAGATAAAAGTAAGCGCAACAGAATATATACGTACATAATTACACCGTTTATAATGAATTTAAAGGATTCCACTTGTACCAATATTTCAACCTAACTTTAAAAGAAGAAACGGTTAAATGCGAGTCGGAATAGCATAAAGGTTCCATGCCATTATTTAAAAAATGTTGTATTGGAGCTCCATATTTATTTTATTCTGTTTTAGTGTTTGTTGTATTAGCGGCAACAGAAATACATCTGTAAAAAAAATTGTAATAGGGTCACTTTTTTACCGTTTCGGTATGTAACCCTAAAAAGTACTATAAAAGTATCTAATTGTTTTGTAAATATTTTGTTTACTAACACTATTTCAATACCTAAATCTTCGTGGTTGTGAAACAAATTAATATGTTTCTAAGTCATTTATCACGGTTTACAATTTAAAGAACATTATCTCTCAAATCTATGTAATGTTCCGTAACTTTGTAACTGAAAAGTTGTTTCCCAGTGAATATAATGTTTAACGTATAATGCAATTAAATTATCTATTCTCACGATATGAAAGCAACAGGAAAAGCTGCTTAAAAAGCAATATTCCGAAGCTCTAGAAAACCTTTTACTCGCCATTCTCGATTTCCCCCTAAAAGCCATAAATATGGCGCGAATTTAATTTTGTTCCAAATTCAAATTAAAGTCACGTCAAGTTCTCTCGCACGTGCGCAGTACTGAGTATAGAATATTAAAGAAATGCAGAGAGAGGATTTAAATTTATTCTATAATAGCTTGATGTTTATTCCCTACATGCAATACTAGCTACGGTTTGCTATTTACACATATCTGCATAAACATTTTTTTTTATGAAAAAGTATAACTTATAAATACTTTGTTTACAAAAAAGACGTACTTATGACGCACCGCATGAATGGTAGGTACTGTTAACAATGATCGTTTACTAGAATTTACAATACAAACATTTTACAACAATAGGTAGAAGTCGCGTTTCTGGGACTTTAACATACCTCTAACTGTTTTTATATCGATCTTATTACAGTACAGAGAGTGTAACTAATTCTACTTGAAAGCTTCTGTCCCCTAGATACTCTATACTACCCTTTGTTTATATTCGGTGGCGAGAGAGCCATGCTTCCAGTTTCCCGTGTAGGGTCGTCGCGTTCGTGTCGTGTATCGCAGTTCTATACGAAAAACTTTTTACGATAACTGTGCATTCGAATTTGGAATGTTCTAAAAAGTTTTATTTACATTTGCGGCCAGTGGATGCTTTGAAATGGTAAACGAAATGATTGATATTTGTCTTAAATAAAAATATTAAAGAAATAATAAAAAAAAGTTACTTTATGTACTAAGATATAGCAAATAATTAACATAAAATATAAATTTTGGTTCATGTAAAAGATTTTTTTTTCTAATTTTAAATTATTGTTATAATCCTATAATTTATAAAATATTTAGAAATACAATCTTGTCGTGTGGTTATGTAGTTTTCCGCTTCCAAAACTAGGTATATAATTATTTCAGCTATAGAATATCTTAAGAGTAATATAAATTATCCTTGTAACTTAGACCATTTTATAAGAACTAAATGAAAATAAAAATCAAGTGTTTTAGTTGAAAAAGAATTAGTTGATTCGACTGACTGTTCCGACAAAGAAATGTCAACTGCGTAACTCGAGCAGAATTTTATTTAGTAATAATTTTATAAGATTAGTTCGATCTCGAATACATCTGATACAGATAATTCCATAGAAATTTTATTTCATTTTATTAATCAATCCCGAAGATCCACATTATAACCTTTTTTAAGATTATATTTGTATCTCATAAAATATACTACGATTATTACTTCATGTCACTCAGTTTCTATGAGAAAAGAAAAGTGTAGTTTTTACTATTTTTCAGTATTAATCTACAATAACCATATGGGAACTTTAACGAATATGCTTAGCAACACATTTTATCACCGGTCACCAACCTTTTTGGAAAAAAGTTTTACTGATAGATTACCTTCATTACCTATAATAACAGTCCAACAACCGTGTATTTCCTAATACTTTGGGTATACAACCCTTGGCGTGATGAACAGGTCATTACCGCCCAAGGCTTGATAATCAGTCAGGTCAGTCAGCTTTTGTCGTATTGTCGTTGTAGCTAAGGAGTGTATTGATTTCTCTAATATCATGTTAAATAATTACTGACATATACTGCTTAAAATTCGTAGCCTACTTTTATATTTTGTAGATCATCGCACCAATTTTATTGCTTGTAATTTTTTTTTTCAAAGTGTATAAAACTATCATCGAAGAGTACAAAAAGGTTTGGGATAAGTTCTATCTTCTGTATTAATTTAATTTTAAACTTACATGAGATTTTGTGATACTAGCACTATTTTTTAATTATCAATGGGTTTTAAATTATTTCTGTAAAAAAATACTAAAAAATTTCTCATTGCAGTCGGGGGACCGCTCATGGAACATTTATAATCTAAAGGGTCCCCCGAATGCAATTAGAATTTTGTTTAGCTATGCCCTAATATACAACTTGTGATCATGGTACCACTTCTTTCTTTAATTTTTTGTAAGATTGCTGCAGTTGTGTTTTAAATGTTTAAATTATTTATTTTACCATATACCATATAATTAAAGAATTACTTTTTTATATTTTTCAAGTGGCGTCATTCATCCGCCATTTTGGATATATATATATATATATATATATATATATATATATATATATATATATATATATATATATATATATATAAGCCAGATTCACTCGCGGCGATGTAACGTTTATAATGATACCCTATACATGCATATCCGTAGTCTTTCAAAATTTATGATGAAGTAAATAAACTCTCATACACATATCAACCCTAAACACACTTATTTTTTCACTAGTCGTGTAAAAATAAGTACAGATCTCAATTCTAGTGACGTTCTTTTTTTAATTCCACGTAATAAGCTTTAATAAGATAACGACTCGACGGGAAGTCACTATATCTCTTTTATACAAGACACCTTCGTAAATATATTCACTCATATAAGTCTATTAAGCCAGTCACGAGCACAAAGACCAGGATATCAGCTGTTGGCTATTGTCTGCCCGACTATTCTATTGAATAACATTGAGCCATATCCAAGTTGGGACTGTTAATGACATCACAGGATACAATTGTACGTGATGCTTTAAATAGGGAGTAGCTTAAGTTTCACTTTTAAAAGCTTAAGCTGTTGCAACAATTAATAAGAATAAAATAATAATCGATTAGGTATCGATTGGGTGTCGATTTGCCGATCGATTGTTATATAAATTATCATTTATGATGTGTTTAAAAAATGTACCGAATTATCATAGCTCTAAGCTTTTTTGATCCATCATTAAGTTTCATGTATACTCACGAATAAAAGCATTCAAGAGTCCACTTCACTTCAATATAGGGGAATACATTCGAAGACCAGTCTTTTGAATTTGAATTTTCGAATAAAAGTTTTTTTTTATTATGAAGTTTTAACCACGTCAAATGAATGAGTCGCGATATTTTCCGCAAGTAGTAACGCTTATGGTATATAAATTTTATAATTGGTGCTAAAAATTTTAAATACTTAGTCAGATGCAATTTAAGTTTTTTAAAGGCTGTGTCTGTATAACGAAATTTATAAGAAATCCTTTCTAACAAATGAAATTTTATTGCTTATGAAAAAAAAAGTTATTTTAAAAATGTGACTTTAGTTGTCTTTATTCTATTATAGGTGACTGACACACTTATAAAATGATATTTTAATCAAATTTACTTTGATACTTAATTGATATTGATGTATTTACCTAATCGATTATTAGGTTTATCTACTTATAAAGAAAATTATTTATTATAAAATTATAAAAGAATAATATTCTTAAGTATATTGCTAAAGACTATAATAATAAAGATGATTGAGATTGACATAGTCTAAACAGTTAAGTAGTTAAAATAAAATAATTACGTTGTAGGTGGACGCACTCTTCATCTCCGACAAAGATTCATAAGAGGCGTGATTCAATGGCCATTTTAATCAACAATCGGAAACGCCCACAACACTTCTTAACGTCGATCATAGCGTAACTTTATCCAGTAAGATAACTAGATAACTGTTTCGTGTCCGTGAGCGAAGGGAGAAAATGTGACGTCATTAGTTACATTTGTTTTTGAAAATTGATAAACACATTCCTTCAGCCGAGGACTAGCTGCAAGTCTTTTATAAACGTAATGGTTTATGAATAATTAATAAGGAAAATGATTTTTTAACCTTCTAATAATATCTATTTCACTGCCCCATGATATAGAGTCTTTCGTTTACACCCAGCTTTGGCAGATCTCCCTAATAAATTTAATGAACATACTGTCATTTATTTTCACTATGAATGACATTTATCATTATAATCACACTAAATCTCGATTTAAACACTGGCTAATATATTTATTACCTTTTGTTCCGGCAATAACTCATAAGCATTTAAGCAAATAAAAGTATTAGATACACTACGGGTTAAGTTATTAGACTTATTTCTGATTTGAGAGAAGTATAAAATCTCCACTAATGGTTCTCAATAACTTAAGTTTTTTCACATTTCAAATATCGAAAAGTCCTAGTTTTATAAAACTGGCAACAACTCATTGTAAAAAAATTTAAGTCTAAATTTAAGTACGGTTTGAGACGTGCTTAACTTTCAATTCTCAATTCAGAAACCGCGTGTTATTGTTATGGATTTTGGTGTTCTGTTTTTATTATTTAAAACTTATGGTGAAGCGTTATTATTTGGGTATTATAAGGCCTCTCATGTCAAAAACCGGTCAAGTGTGAGTCGGATACACACCCGAAAGGTTCCGTATTGGAAACGAGCAAAAAAATCACGCTTGTTGAATGGGAGTCCCCTTTAATATTTTTTATTCTGGTTTTTTAGTGTAGTCTATTATTGTATGGTGTTGTCTATTATTTTTAATGTAGTATCATTTAAAATAATTTTACTTAAGTCCAAGTTAACTGTTTCGAATAGATAAATCATAAAAATAAATAATTTAAAGAAAAACAAAAATCCCGACTGCGTAAAAACTAATTTTAAAAAATACATGAAAGAATTAACTGAAATAAAAACTAAAAAGAAAGAAACAAGCCCAGTAGTTTAGAATTCTGTTAAGTAATATAGAACAGAACGACTCATAGTCGGGGCCCATTCAAATTTTACCAATCAAATCTTCCCAAAGGCTTTTTATTTATAATTTCAGTTAATTCTTTCATGTATTTTTTTAAATTCGTTTTAACGCAGTCGGGATTTTTGTTTTTCTTTAAATTATTTATTTTTATTTTATACTTTTTAGTTACGATTCGTTGACTTCGTTATAAGATGGTAAATTTCGCAATCAAGTTATTTCATTGAGGGAGTTAATATTGTGGGGGTTATTAAGTAACTTGCGGTGGTCTAAACTACTGATGATTAGTCCCTCTAGAGACCTAACTTGGCTCAAAGCTACATATGCTTTATTTTTTTACCAAAAATATTTGTTCTTCATGCTTTTTCGCTGTTTTTTTTTTCGTTTGTATATCGTTTATACTTTAAATAAAAACTTTAGTCAATAAGTAAGAAAATTAGCGAGAATGTTTTGTAAACAACTTTAAATCTTTATATATCCTAAACTATTATTTAGAATAAAAAATGATAAAAAGAACCTAAAGAGGATTTTAAAATACCCATCCAACGAAAAAATAAAATTCGATGAACTATGTCAAGTGGGGTGCCACTTGACATAGTTCATCGAATTTTATTTTTTTCATTTAGACAATATGGCGTCTGGTTGTCGCTATGGTGATACTGTCATGTCTTTAGTGACATTCGCAAGGTTAAGGCGAATCGATTGACGTAAGAATCATCAAAATCGGCCTACGCATTTGGTCTCTAGAACGCCACATAGAAACGGAGAAGTTTTGACAAATACTTTGCTGAAAACCGCATCAAAATCGGTTCAGTCAAACGCGAGATAATCGCACTCAAACAGATCAAACTGAGAACCTCATCCTCCTTTTCTTTTAAAATCGGTTAAAAGAATGTAGTCTAGAGAAGGAAAACGAATAGAATTTAGTGAATTTTAGAGGAATATCGTGTTTTAATATCCATTAATAAGCCCGTAAAAAATTGTCGTTCGTTATAATAAGCGTTGTATTGAAATGGATTCCATAGTCTTCAAATCATGCATTCAATTTCAGGTCCTATGAATGAGAAAGTTAAAAGTGTAATGCTAAATTGGATTCGGCAGCCATCCCATGACGAATCTTCAAAAGTAGGTGATGTTAGTAAATATTCAGGTGAAGTGTAACGGTTGACCTCAATTTTACTTTACTACTAGAGTGACTGAATTAATATTTTATTGTTCTTCGGTCGTTTGCTTCGATGGGAGGCGTTGAACCTACGCCTCCATCAACGTGCACGTTCAAATACTGTAAAAATACAAATAACTATTTCCTAAATGGTTCAACAGAAAAATAATACCCACGAACGCAAAAGGTTATGGTTTAAATCCCATCTTTTATATCTCATGATTGGTTTTACCGTGTTATAAGATAGAAATCTTACTTAAATACTAGTTTTAGAAAAGAAAAAACAATCACTCGACCCAAAAACGTTAATAGAGTATTTCAATGCAAATTACTTTTTCCTAAAAGCTGAAAATTCTTACAGCCAGGTCCAGGAGAGGAAACTGATGTCACAGACGGCGTCGACGCAGTCACTGTCAAGCACAGAACGCTGGAATGTGGATGGGGCATGTTCCGACCCAAGTGGTTACAGCGGTTTCGGACAGCCAAATGGGCATTGTTCTGGCTTTGCTGGGCGGGTGCGATACAAGGTAAGTTATAATTACAAACATTCTGTAATATGGAAACTCTGAGTAAAACATTGTCAAACGAATGTCTGAATTCCATTCCAAAAGTTGAAGAATTTAATGGTATTGCTGAAAATGCAGTTAAGATAACTGCATAGCTACACTGACATCGATTTCCTTGACATTCGATTGGATCCGGAACGAAGCAAATTAGTAACACGATAGGTCTACTGATTGCGCTCAAACCAATCATACTTCAAAGTGGTAGTCGTAGTGTCCAGCAATAATTAAATACCTCGTTATACGTTTTTATATTTAAGAAAATAATAATCTCAATATTGCCAATATACACATAAAATTAAAATCATTATTTGGAACCGCAAAAAAAGTTTAGCATGCGACATTTTTTGAGTTTATCTCTTCGAAGAAATAGACAAATACTGTGGGGAAATTAAGTCCTAAACAAAAAAGAAATTCCATATTTTAATCCAATATTTTGGACGATTTCGATTTTGTTAGTTTGTGTCTCTTTGAAATTGCAACGAAGCGTTGTTTGGTACGTTTTTGTATGTAAATTATTGGGACATAAGTAGTAATACCTCAAAAACGCTATAAATTATTTTATTTTTTATCATTATATGGCTGAAGCTGCGGGTAACAGCTATATAGCCGTTACCCGCAGCTATATTTAAAGAAACGTTTCTTTGGATAAGATCATGGTCAAGTTTGTTAATTCTTACGTTCGTTATTGCAGACTATTTCCTTTATACATAATTTTACATGTTTCAACTTAACGTGTTAAATCTTTCAATCTTTTGATCCACTTCCCGATTTTCGATTGAGCTGAAATTTTGCATGCAGAATATCTTGAGTGACAATCGAGTGGAGGTTTTCTGTATGTTATTAATTAAATGATATACTCCCGACTTCAATAGCATTTTCTTGATAAGTATTATTTATCACTTTTTTAAAGTTTGGAGTTGGTTATACTTTTTATTTCATGCTTTTTAGTGGTATTGATATTTAAAAATAAAATATATATAGCGATAGTCTTAGAATAGGACATTTCGTTTATTTGCTCGACATAATTTTTTCCAATAATCTATATTCATATTTTAAAGGAAAATTTGGTTGCTTTTGCATTGGCTCCGAAACTATTGAACCAATTTTAAAATTCTTTCATCTACGGGAAGCTATATAATAAGCGGCGGACATAGGCTATAATTTACGCAGGCGAAATAGCAGGGAAACAGCTAGTTTGATCGAAATTGATTCACAATTCAAGAAGAAATCGATGAACGTATCTATCTACGACTTTTAAAAAATAATATACATCAAAGAGTTAAGTATACATACTCGTTGAACAGTAAATCTTCCTTTCAGAATTTGAAGGAATTCTAAATAAGCAATCTTTTGTTTTTTAGCTAAAATGGGCCATTTCATAACATTCATATCATCTTAATATTTAGGTGATAACTGTTGGAAAGTATATTTTGTTTTGATATAAATTTAAAACTGCTTATTCTTTATCGATAATATTAAATGGGATCACATTGAGTCATCAATCTCAGTCTAATAAAAATTTAGAAAATCCGTCGAATATATGTATAAGCTCCCCCGTTGCGATTTTGAAGTCGATTAAAAATGGATTGTATCTAATCTGATTAATAAGTCGACAGCCATAGGACCTCTGTTATTAAACGAAGCAACCCCAAGTTTGGGCACGTTTGATTGTCTTAACAAGGACTTTGGTCTATGGTCCTGGGGCTGATGATGGGCCAGTAAAATTGCCATGGCAACTTTGTAATTAAATAACATAAACCCATCGAGTTCACTAGTTTTGATTTGTTTATACAAGACATCTAAAAGTATAAGATAATAAACATCTAAAAAGAACCCGTTTTTTTATAATAAAATTAATAATTTTGTAGAGTAGGACCAAACATTATGAGTTTCTAGATACATCGAATATTTGTTTAAGAATACGCTCCCAGATAAAAATTGCACCTCTAATAACAAAGTAAATCATACTAGTTGTATATACATTTTAGCTGCTTAATTTTTCTTTGACAAATATTAAGTCTTAGAAAAGGATAGGATTTTGTCTTACTCTTGTGTGTAGCCAGGCTTTTATTCGTTTACGCAATAAAATCTTGTGTAACTATCATTGTAGTTAGTGCCAGAATAAATATGCGTCATAACCATCTCATGGCAACATGATCATATAGCGAGTTTAAACGATCCATCGAAATTACTGTTAAAAATACAATGGAAAGTACGAAAGTTGCGTAAAAGTTTTAGTTGAAGGTATTATGAAAGTTACGTCAAACACTGACCTTAAATGTTATCTACACTATAAAAATAATATAAATCTAATAAAAAGGAACAATATAATAGTATAATACCACACCGTTAAAATATTGATTTAATATTTCAATTGAAAATGGAGGAAAGCGATAAAATTGGTCACATTTGCGCGAACCTAACTCGTGATCATAATTCGAGTGGAAAAATGAATTGTAAGCATATAATTAGGAAAATTGAAAGTCCTAACTTCAATAAATTAGACATAATATTAAATAACAACGAATATGTTTTAAAATTGGCCGAAAATTTGTAGTAAGATTTCTAAAAAAGATATTAGTAAAAAAATGCAATTCTATTTAGTCCATCAGTCAGATGATAGAAAAATATTAGATACGTATTTTTTTTTTACTTCAATTTAACAAGAAATAGCTTAGATAACAGGCATTAAAGTTGAGGAGTGGGGGCTCGCTACGTCACAGTTGAGTAGAAAACGTACCCTAACGTGACATCATGCGAAATTTCAACTCGATGTAACGCCGTAATTTTATGATTACGAAAAAAAAATAAAAAATAAGTGTTTAACGGACAAACAAACAAAAATTAGTCATCATCCCTTTAACTTCTTTAAGTTTATAGGAGAAATTAGTGATATAATGTTCCAAGTATTACTTATAAAATAAAGGTGGGTCCTTTATTATATAAAATCGAAAGAGTTTTGAGGAATACACAAATATTATACGGATTGACTATTTCCGCTTTCTTTGAAATCGTTTTAATAAGAAAACATATTTGTTGTAAAATGCCACGAAGATATATTGAGTAGAAAATAGTAATATGTTATTACTTGAAGTTAAAAAAAAAAGCTTTTATTGAGTCACGTCAAATAAGCTCATTTTGCGGTCATGAGAACCAAGGTCTCGTAGCACAAGTAATGGAAAACAATGTGAAAAGAAATACCCAACTGTACATGAATAAATTTTATTTAGAAACTCATATCTTACTCATTAAAATGACCGTGAAAGACTGATAGATGGGATAATGGATGGACACTCATTGTCAGTGGAAAAAAATACGAAAGTAAAAAACTAAGGCAATATTTTAATTACATTTCATGTAATGATGATTTTGTATTTATAATAATAAAAATGCTAAAAGCATATCTCGAGCTTCTGATTGTAATTTAAATATTGGTCTGTCATTTCGGTATAGTTCACCGAAGATGAGATTGACCACGAAAATGAAACCAGCTCGCGAACTATGCGACCATGGAGGTTTACTCTAATAATGTTCGGTGATGGCGTACAAGATCTCCATCCCGCAGCGTATCATAACAATTATAGTTAAAACTATCGGTTCTAATATAAACTTTAGAGCACAAGAGTAAGATCTAAGGCATGAGCAACTTCGCTTACAATTACAATTTCAAATATGAATGAATATAACTGACAAATCTGTGCCACCAAAGCGATAAACGTGTTAATAATGAACATAATTTAGCACCGTATGATCAGTTTCACAACGCATAAATGAAACGCCAACACGAACATTATAATACGCAAATGTAAGATTTAATAGTCATCGTTAATAGCATAGTTGCACCCGAGTTTTACCCGACTAAGATAATTGTTAAGAAATTGTCCACTTCAAATTGTGTGTTGTTGGTGAAAGTAATGCAAATTAGACATAGTTTTTTTTTTCTAGTTAAAATTCACTTAGGACTTTAAGAGACATTTACTTTTTTCCTTGTTCATGATTTTTTATGTACGATCAAGCGAGATTGTTATGTTAAAGTAAACTAACTTGATAAAAAAAGATACAAAAACTTTAAATATTAACTTTTGACTTTTTTAATCAAAATTCGACGTCCGCTTTTTCTCTATTATGTTTATGACAACTGATTAATTTGAAATATTAAACTTATTTCTATTTCTGCATTTCTTTTTAATCCGTCGGTCAGATAATCGAAAAATATTAGATACGTATTCTTATTGCTTCAATTTAACAAGAAATTAGTTAGATAATAGGCATTAAAGTTGAAGAGTCAGAACACAATATTATAAATAAATAAATAAATATTTAACAACATCACATACATTGCGTATTATGGAGTATCTGAGACAACGAAGGTACCACAACAACACATTTCTATACATGTAGAAAATTTATCAAGGTGTGACGTCATGCAATATTTCAAATTAATGTATTGCCTTTATTTATTGAGTACCCAAAAAATAAAAATAGGTGTTTAATATTCTTCAATAAAATCTACCCGACGAACAAATAAATAATAATTACTCATCTGACGTATTAATATATATAACTGTTTTTTAAATAAGTAATGTATTTTTAAGTCTGAATCGGATGGTTAATATTTCGTTTTTCCTATTCTGAGTGCCGAATCCTTTACTGAATGCCAAAACAAACATCCAGAAAGGCTTAATGAATTAATAAAACACAGTAATTAATATAAAAACACAAACTAGAGTTTCCGCAGGGAGCTAACTAGATTTACACGGCGATTTGCTCACAAAATTAACTTGACGGTCCGAGTCATAAGCGAGATGTGGCAAAAATATATTTATGATGGCCTCTTTTAATTTATATCTTTCTTTTAATATTATATAAGTCGTATTTAGGATAAAATCTAGAAATAATTAAAAACATTCCTTTGCAAAATTTGGATGCTAGTGTACGTATTTGCTTTAAGTTTTCGCTTTCTCACTTTCTGAACAAATACAAACGATTATTTACAATGAATTCTATGGTTATTAGTTAATAACTTCATTAAATATTAATTTTATATGAATGTTATTTTGCCCACCTTTGGACAACAGGTGTGGGCATTAAATAAATAATATTGAATCATTTTTTTTTCAAATACTTTACTGTTCATGAAGTATTCCATTAAAACCAGTGATCGTTTTTCATTTCACGGTACATATTATCTGTTATTATGGATAAAATTGACTCATCTAACTGAAATAGATTAAGTTAATTAGTATGAATCCCCCTTTCATTGTTTTAAGATTAAAAAATATAGTAAGAAAAACAATATGTACTTACAATTAAAAATAGTACCTATCTGATTGTACGCGAACCGTTAAAGTAAAGAAATGAAGAAGTAAAAGCTGTTTTTTTGAAATTAAATAAATCGCCAAAGTTCATGAACTGGGCCATCACGTGATTGCGCGAGAACTGTGGTGTTATTCTGTGGAGCAAGAGGCTAATAAACTGACAAAATTAACACTGGAACCCCATTATTTTGGTTTCAATGTGAAAGTTTTGTTCATTTGAGCATGTACCGAGTCACGATTGTGCTCTCTTTCAAGATAAATCTTATATTATCTATGCAAAAGCATAAAAAATGAAGGAAGGCAAATAGCAGTACTTTCAGAATTATAACACAGTTTGCACACACAATACAACTAAAACGTAAACGTCTAAAACTCCTGAAATAATTGTTTATTAAAAGAAAAATAAATAAATGAGAACTTTTTTTTATGGAAGCTGGTACTTTATTCAAATTATGTATCTCTAACCAAGCATAAAGTACATATTAATATTAATCGATACGTTCTTGTGGTTTGTGTTGGTAAAGTTGACTATTAAACAGGCTTTTACTAGATAAAAATATTTTAATAAAACAAGCATGTTGATTTTTGTTTAATTTCAACACAAAAAGCATAGCAACAACAACAAGCATATTGCTTTTTGTTTAATTTCATTATCGGAATTTCCCCAATTTCGTAATAACCCCAAAGTGGCCTACCGAAAGCTAGGCTGTGGACAAAGATCCCTTTGCGTTCGTTTTAATTTTCTGCATTTCATTTTTTAAAATGAGTTTATTATTATCTGGATGTTATTAATAGAGTTTAGTTCCCAATTTCCTGCGGGAATCACTAGTAATTCTAAGATTACAGTAGTTGGATTTTCGCGAGCCTGGATATCATCGGAACAGCCGATGACAACTTGTCTGACCTTGTCTGCCCACCACTAGTGGGAATTAAAGTTGGATTTCGACTTGTCAAATATCCATTTAAGTGTCATTTATAATAGGTATATTTTAAGTTTTCCAATTGTTCTCTAATTAAAAAAAGTAGGATTCCGTACCGGAAACAAACAAAAACAGTAGGGTTCCATACCGGAAACGAGCGTTTGTTGTTTAGGACCCCTTTAAATGTTTATTTTATTCTGGTTCTTAGTATTTGCTGTTGAAGCGGCGACAGAAACACATCACATGTGAAAATTTCAACTGTCTAACTATCACCGTTTATGAGATACAGCCTGGTGACAGACAAACAGACTGTGAAGTCTTCGAAATAGGGTTCCCGTTTTTCCCTATTGGTATGAAACCCTAAAAAGTAATAAAACATGACTTTACGCAAGAAGGTTTCATTTAAAACTACTTGTTTCTACGCGCAAAATGATTTGGTGAATGGTATTGCAACTTACATATTGGAGATTTACATATTACTTGTAATGTTTAAACCATGAAGTTTCCTTTAAAACACTTAGATATTTTCAATTTTCATAAGACACAGACTCGTTCCCAAAACGTTCGCATTTTTATATACAAAAGTAACTTTACTCGGGCTATTCTAAAGCCATTACGCTCACCTCACGTAACGCACTACGCTTACATTACCACGGGTATTTCCTTAAAGAATTAGATTATTCTAGAAGAGACACATACATATTGAACTCATTCACTTTTTTCGATATTGTTTCCTAAAATGACTAAAAAAATAAAATATATAATACACAGAAAATAGCATGCTTTGAAAAATAAAATACTTAATTACATGATGGAATATACATATGATAACTAGCAATTGGTACTTAAGTAATTTGAAATTAACTAAATCCATCGATGATTTACAGCCTTATAATCTATCAATCACAGCAGCTCTAAGATATTTAATTAAAAACAAATGCATATTAAAAAATCAGCAGAACTTATCTGTCTTAATGATATTACTTATTAATATTAGGTTTGTTTCTAGTCTAATTAACAACAAAAAAATACATTAACTACTCTAGTGAGTGTAATTACACTCACTAGAGTAGTTAATGTATTTTTTAACTCTACACATTAAAAAATAGAATTCGTATGTCTAATTTTTGTATCGAGATCTGACCTACTATTCTGTAAAAATCCAGCCCAAATTGGAATTCACTTATGTGTACGAATTCACGTCATTTAGGAATTCTATTTATTGTATAAAAATACAAATTGACTGCATATAAGTGTCTCAGATATTCTAACACTATATCATTTTGAAACTCACCTCACTTATGCCACGAAACGTTATTAAAAATTCAGTGTTGAGCGGATGCCGCTTTGTGAAGTGAATTCGAGTTCGGGTTTAGATTTTTATAGAATCACAGGGTAGTACACCGCTACTTGCGTGTATTAATATTTCTTTCACAAAAAACCTCCCTTGCTTGACACGATTTGCATTTTTTGTGATAACGGAACAAAACAGAAAGATATTTATCTTTAATCTGTGACAATGACACTCTAGGTATATAAATATCCACAGAAAATGCTACC